AGAATGTAGGGTTACACACAGAGGCCTGCAGCCAGAGATACAAGTGAATACCTGCTTAGATCCTTCTCAGGCTAAAACCTGCTTTTACAACCTAAATGCCTGAGCCAACACACACACACACACACACACACACACACACACACACAGTGTATCTGTACATACAGTTCAGATGGAGGTTTATGGCCAGTGTTAGCACAGACTGTTCTATAGGTTAACTGTCATGTTCTTTGCTCTCTGTCGTCCTGTTCAATCCAACCTCAAACAGCCTTGGGTAATCTTTTACTTCTGTCGTGCTCTATATGTTTGTATGTGCATGAGAGCGATAACGGTAGTGAAGAGGTTGCATGATATGTATCTAATAAGACATTATTTATTGTCTTTGTCCCCGTGTGTGTGTGTTTACTGTTCCGAACACTCTGATGTGTCAGGGGGTTCAGCTCAGGATAAAGACAGTGTCCCGTAAACTTACTGACCTTCAAGGGAAGGTTTAGAGTTTAATGTGACAACCGTATTATCACACTGATACGGACACACACATGCACACACACAGATAAAGCATTGGATCAGGGGATCAGAGCTGCATCTGTTGTGTTTGTTTTCTTAACAAAGACACTAATGATTAAGTCTGAAGACTTGCACACTGTGGAATGACACACAGAGCTGGTACATGACATCTTGTGCTTGTTATTCTCACACACTCCTCGTTTGTCTTACTCGACATACTGCACATAACGTCTTTTCACATTATCTGTCATTAATTGCCTGCAGCATCACGTTCAGCCCCCAGAGCGCTTTACAACAAGAGGGGTGGGGCTATTAATTTGCGCCTTGAAGGCAGGAATCACTAAAGGCTTTTGGCGGTGATTTGTGTGGTCAGCTGATAAGAAGCTGCTGGTCCATGCACATGCTCAGATCATGCCTGTGCTTCAGTGGGTCAATCAGTGGTTTTTGAACCCATCTGTCAAGATCACACTTCAATAAAGAACCAGCCCTGGGTGTTACACATGCTTGATATTAAATCTGCTGAAGGAAACACTGTGAAATCACCTTCCTGTTTCAGAAGAAAATAGGAAACTCGCTTAAAGTAGACAGGCAGATACCATCACCAAGACTCAACACTTCCCTTAAATATAATCATGGTGCACCAATGGGAACATTGTGAAAATGTTGAAAAACATCCTATTTCTCAATGGTTGAAAAAAAAAAAGATACTTTCTGGATCCGGCCCCTGATCTAGATCTGCACCAAAATTTAAAGTGTTCTTTAACCGACCAATAACACATCCTTCCACCAAGTTTTGTGGAAGACTAGTCAGATGTTTTTGCGCAATGTTGCCAACTAACAGACAAACCAACCAACATGGGTGAAAACATACCCTCCCCAGTGGAGGAAAAAACAGTTGTGCAACTCAATCTGACACAACAATAACAGCTATGACGGGGGAGGGGTTGTTCTATATATTCACAACCTTATTAACCAGGGAGGAGTGTTGTGTTGTTGGCCAATGAGCAACTCTGCTGCAGTTTTATTGGGAGGCTCTAACAAGGTAGCTAAAGAGCTCTTTTACATCTGAGAAGTGGTTCCAGTCAACTGGATGTTTTAGTTGTCAAGGAATTTAAAAAATCCTAATTCCTGCCACAATAAATCAACCATGTGTTTTGATACTGTCCCAGGCATGTCTGTAGCAAACTGACAATCCTCCGGCCTAAAACGATCAGCCCCGCCAGATGTCTGAACATCTGCTGGTCAGATATCTCCTGCTGGATGAAGTAATCAGCTGTGTAAATTCCAGGATTCCTACTAAAACGCCTCCCCCCTCTCATTCCCCTGCAGCCTCCACTGCTGATCAGCATTATTGATCAGAGTGAGCAAGGCTTTACATAACGTGTCATCCTCTTCTCTGATTAAGGAGGAGGACGTTGTGCATGATAGATTTTGGTCGAGATGTGGAAACATTTCTCTTGACTTGCACAAGCTCACGCACACACACACACCCACACACACAAACACATTGTTGTATTTACAGAGATCAGGAAACACAGATGTGTTGAACAGGAGCTCAGAGCACATTTCACTGACACCCTATACCTCCAGTCACAGAGCGCCCTGACCTCAGAGTGGCTGTGTGAGCGTGCACATTTCTACCTTATTACAAAAGAAGTTATAGTCTAATGAGGAATGAATGATTTAAATGCAACCAGGGGCTCATGTGCTTCTGCTTAGTGTAACTCTCACATAGAGTAGATCGGTCAATTACTTTGGGTTCTACACTCCCTCCTGTGGTAATATAATGTATTACACAAGCTATTACACACATTATCAACTGCAAGGCTATTATGCTGTATTTGTCTATATATCCACAGAATACCTCTTAGAGAACACCAGTTGGTTACAGAATTACCAGCCTTCTTACCTCAGACTGTGAGAATCTTATAGAGGGTCTGGGGATTTGAGGGTATTTCAGCTCCAGCTCTGGACTACACTCCAGCTCATCATCCTCTGAGCTCAGCGAGAGGCTACGGCAATGTGGCGGTGACTCAAAGCTTGGCTCATCATCTATGTTCTGCGTGTGGCAAATAGAGTTTGAGCTGGTGTCCTTTATTTCTCTGGTTCTGGTGTGTGATTGGGTGGAGACACAGCTGACAGTCCTGTGAGGCTGGTCGTGCTCCTCCTGTGGGCTGCCCTGTGGAGCTTCTGGCTGGGAAACAACTGGACCTGCAGCTGGAAGCCTCTGGTCATCTCCACTCCGTCTGGAGTTGTTCGGCTCAAGAGGTGTTGGTGGGTCAGGGTTGACTTCAGGTGGATTTCCAAAGCAGTGGCCCAGAGATGAGCAAGGTAGTCCATGCATGCTGGTGGATTGACAAGTTACCGAGAGAAACAATAAAACAAATCCTAACTGTACTGGCATCGGGTGGATTTGGGGTTTCCCATTCTTTGGAGCAACATCAGACAGTTTATGTGGATTTTCTTCTTGTATATAATCAAACAGTAGAGTGGAGGCTGAGCAATCCCCGAGGAGGAACATACATCATTACCCTAAAAAAGGATGAAGGCAAAAACACTAAAGGTTGATGCATGGGAGGAAGTTCATTTTGACCCATTTATGAATGATAGTCTTCCCTCTTCTCAAAATGTCCTCTTGCAGCATTAATTGTCCATTTGTCCAGTAGCAGCTACACAAGTTCCATCATCAGTGTACCTCAAACTTCACCTTAAAGATCCAGACTCTGTTGGTCACTAGGTCGATCTGTCATCACGTCATCCTCTCGTTCTATGGAACACAGATTCCCAGGCAGACTGTTTCTCAGTGGCTCTTTCTCTGGTGGCATGCAGGTGAGGGTCCCTCTCCTCTCTGCCCTTTGCAGTATTTGCCTCCCTGATGACCTGCAAGCACATGAGCATTTCAGGCTTTGTGTGTGTGTGTGTGTGTGTGTATGTTGCAGTGTGTCGGGACTGGGTGTCCCATTACTCGGGCAGGTAGTCCCTGATCTGCTGTGAATTTGGAAGCTGGGGTTGGGCTCCACTGTTCCAGCAGGACTCTGGTTACCATCTGATCCGAGCTCAGTCACTGATACACTTGCTCCACAACTCAGCACTGTTAATGAATGAACTGGTCTGATCACAGAGCAGTGGGCCGCAGTGTAAAGCTTATTAGAGTGTTACAGATGGTTGAATATGAGAGTTCAAGTTACAGGCAAACACTGTAAAGTGATAGGCCTCAGACAAGAAAAAGAGAAAGGAGGAGAGAGATAGAGAGAGGGAAAGAGTGAGATATCATTTTTAAAAATTCATCTATATTATTATCATTATTTTACTCTACTCAATGAATTGCATTTTTTCTTATCTCAATACTGTTCAGTTGACATTCATGCCAACGTAGACAGATAGAAAGAGAGCGAGAGAAAAAGAAACAGAGAGAGAGACAGAGAAAGAGAGAGAGAAAGAAAGAAAGAAAGAGAGCTTCCTGCTTACAGAATGAATGAGTGAGTGATGCAGGAGAAACCCAGCTGCCCTCGGGTGACGTCTACTTAAATATTCATACAATCACATAAAGCAGACTCACATCTATATTTCATTCAGCCTGGTCTACTGGTCAATATGTATTTTTCTATTAGACAGCATCAAACATAGCATATTGATAAATGTAATGGCAAAAATACAGAGCATCTTAGTAATCTTAGTAACTGTTGTGATTGAAGATCAACTGAAACAGGCTCCTTGTTAGAATTAAACTAGAGCAACAAGACGTCTTGCTTGGGTTCACTCATGAAAAACCTGCATTTGAACAAAACTTGATTTGATGGATGATCGAGAGCAGCTGGGTGGTGGGATGACCTCAGGGAACAGAGAACCATGTTCTGGGGGAGGGGACAAATCACATGACTCAGCAAATATAGGTGGATTGAATTGATTGACAGGTTTAAACGGCAGTCTGGCATGATTCATCCAAAGTGACAGACACACTGATTCTTAAAAGAGAGGCTGCAGTTTAACTTTTTAAATGTGAATGTCCATTAATTCTGTTCACTTGTTCTGTGATGGAGGTAAAACTCTCAAGGATGATTGGCTAATAAAATGTACAGACCACCAGGGGTTTGTGAGAAGATGCTCTTTGTCATTTTGTTGGAACAAACCATTTAAAGAATGTATTTGCTGACCTCTGATGGTTGAAGTGTGTGTTTTGCAGCAGTGGTGTGTGGTTTTGTCTTTTGTCTTTTTAAAATAGAAATCTCTTTAAACTTACAATGTTAACTGACAAAATGATTAAATGTTCCAAACATGAGCAAGTGATGAATTATACTTCATGCATGGATCAATTTTAAAGATGTGTCGATTTAAAGAGGGGACACAATGTGTATGTAAATGTGATTATAAAGCATGATTTTGCATTAATATAATATAATATAAGATCAATTTCATTATAAAACTATAACTTGGACCAACATGTGCTTTTGATTTAGATCATAGAAGTCCCTGCACTCATTAACCCTACAGCAGTGCGTCAGATGACTACGTCAGACGTTCTGCTACGTCACTGTTACGTACGGAGCCGGTGCCAGTGGACCTGCAGTGATTCAATCGTAATTACTAAGTTTTTAAGAATGTGATAACCTCAGTGTTTATTACGTTTGTGAAAAGTTTTCACTGCAGCAGAATGTGCGCAGATATTCAACCTAACCACAGAGTTTAACGTAACGTGCGTAGCTCGTATGTCAAACGTTAGCGCAGGAGCTAGCTAGCCAGCAAGCTAACGTCATGGTTTTCGCGTTGACAGCTGAGTCGTGTTGTGAGTTTACACGTTTAATCATCAGTGTGACTGATGGAAGTGAGCTGCTTGGTGTGGGTTTAACACTCTTTACATACAGTCTATGGTTTAACATGGTGTCTGTCTCGTACAGTCGAAGCTGGCTAACTCCTAGCTCACAAGCTAACTACGCGAGCTAAATGATTATCAGGTATTTTCACAGGAATCCTTCCGGTCTGATCATAACCTGTTTATTTACGTTTCTCCTGATCCAGAGACAACAGGGGGATTGAGCAGCTCAGCACTCAGCGCTGTGTTAGAGATGTCTGGTCGTGTGTACGCCAGCATCCTTCAAAGAGCTTCCAGCTACACACTGTCTTCTGTCAGCCCAGTCCAGGTTTGTGTCCTGAGACACTTCTGCTTCAACTCAGGATCATTGTACATTCAGCTTTATCTGAGGTGTCTTGTTTTCTAATGTTGACATCACCTGTTTTCCATCCAGCATGTCCACCTTGTAGCACTTCCCTCCCCAGTCCACCTCTGTCCCTCCTCATCCTGGACCACCTTCAGATCCGTCCACCTGCGCTCCAGTGGTGAGGGGTCAGCAAGCTGGTCTCAAAGAGGACAGAGCTTCTCCACTAATCAGGATCTAGACTTCCAGCTCAACCGGGTCCAAATAAACAATATCCTGCGATCTAATGAGCAGGTAATGCACATCTTTGCGGCTGTGTTCAGGATGCATCCGTTATCTTTACTGCTTATCCCAGCTGACAATCAGGTCACCAGGCCATCACAGGGCGGACATACAGAGACAATCCACCATTCACATTACAGTCAATATAGAGTTTCCAATTAACGGCCCTCTTCAGGAAGACATTAAAAAAGATGATATATTAAAAATACTTCTTGGATAAAGAAGCTGCAGTATGTGAGGGAGGAGCAGGGTGAAATTTGGCCATGTTTTAGTTGCTACCTCAGTTTTCTTTTTTAACAAGAATACTCCCACTGTGCTGACTCGAATATGCTCAGGGTGTCCAGCTCCATTCCTGGGGATATGATCTCTCTTGAACTAATTGAAATAGTCTAACTTTTACCAGAGGTGTGATTACTCAAATCATTCCAATAATAGTCAAGTTACACCCCTGAATTAAACTAATTATGTTCATTTACATATCTGTCCATTTGTTTTCTAGATTGTGAATGTTCCAGAGTTTGATGGCAGGGGACTCAGTTCTGTGACCAAGTTTGAGAGTAACCAGGTCGCTGCTAACACGCCTAATGAGGACCGTCGCAGTGCAGCCACCTGCCTACAGGTTTGCATCTTCGCTCCTCTGCGGGTGCATTCAACTCGCTACCCCCCCTCTTTTTTTAAAACAGTTTGTTTTTTCTTCTTTAGTCAAAGGGCATGCTCTTTGGAGTGTTTGACGGTCATGGGGGTTGGGCGTGCGCCCAGGCTGTCAGTGAGCGACTGCTGTACTACATAGCAGTTGCAATGATGCCACAGAAGTGCTTGGAGGAGCTTGAGAACTGCATGGAGTACGGCAGACCTGTTCCTCCTATCCTGCAGTGGTACAAACACCATGCCGACTTCAACTATCGGGAATCTGCTTCGCTCTACATCAACCACCTCAGAGTTTTCTGGCAAGATTTACTGGAGAGTGAGGATCATGGTGAGGGCATGAGGTAAGTGTACACGTGTGTGTGTGTGTATATACATATACAACAGGTGACAAAGGAAATACCAAACGTAAAATTCCTTTTTAGCACCACATGATGCCAGAGCAGCATCAATGCACTCCGACATTTATTCTACTGGAACTGTACTGGAGGGATTGAACAACAATTTTCCAGATGATAGTTCCTCAGTTGGGGCTGTGATGATGGTAGTGGAAAGCACTTTCTAGCATCTTGTTCCAAAATCTCAAATATCTTTCTTTTTTGTCCCTCATGTATGTATCCACATGAAATTTAGTTTTTGTTTTACATGCCTTCCATCATCTCTTTCCTTTTAGTCCTTTGGATGCTCTGGAATGTGCTTTCAAGCGTCTCGATGCTGACATCTCCTTGGAGGCCCAAGTCCCTCTGTCCAATGACCTGATGAAAAGCACGGCCATCCAGGTAAAAAGATGAAGCTTTTTTTGTTGCGTCAGTGTTTTCATGCTCCCTCAACATTAATACACATACATCTTCATGTTCTCAGGTGGCGTTTGCCGGTTGCACTGCCTGTGTGGCTCACGTTGGCACAGAAGGGATCCATGTGGCAAATGCTGGAGACTGCCGAGCAGTACTGGGGGTGCAGGAGGAGGACGGTTCATGGAGCGCTTTACCTCTGTCACAGGACCATAACTCGGAAAACCAGGCTGAGATGGAGCGAATCAAAGCCCAGCACCCACCGTCAGAGAGAGACACAGTGGTCACAGAGGATAGACTGCTGGGGGTGAGAGATCTTTATGATTTTACCGGCACTGTACAGTGAGTTGACAGTTGCATTGGAACAGTATAGTAACTGGTTGTAAACTATTCTGGCGTTGACAGATTCTGATGCCCCTGCGTGCTTTCGGTGACGTGAGATTCAAGTGGAGCTGTGAGTTGCAGCAGAGCATTTTGGCCAACCTGGAATCTGGAGTGGATCTGGACTCTCTCAACCTGTACCAGTACACTCCACCTAACTACCTAACTCCACCCTACCTGGACGTGACACCTGAGATAACGTATCACAAGCTCAGACCTCAGGACCGCTTCCTGATTCTCGGCACTGATGGGCTGTGGGATGAGCTTGGAAACGAGGAGGCTGTGCGACTGGTTGGAGAGCACCTGAGTGGGATTCACCTGCAGGTTGGTTTGTGGAGTGATAGTGACGAGTATTTTTATTTCACAGCAACATAACTTCTATATAAACCACTCAAACATGTCCTCTGTTGTTTCCTTTCTTTTTTCCCAGGCTCCAGTTTCTCCGTCTGAGAGGCTGCTGAAATTGGGTCCCATGCTTGAACTCTTGCTGAAACGCCGGGCCCGTGCCACCCCCGCCCTGGACACTAACGCTGCCACGCACCTCATCAGACATGCCCTTGGCACAGGGGAGTATGGAGAGCTTTGCCAGGGGAGACTGGCCTCTATGCTTTCTCTGCCAGAGGACCTGGCTCGAATGTACAGGGACGACATCACTGCGACTGTGGTGTATCTGAACTCTGACCTGGCCAGACCTTGCCACAGCTAACACAACCATTTTCTCTCACAGTGGTGGGCAGAGACAGAAACTATCATCGGGGGTGCAAATGTTAATCATTACAACCTGTTACATACATTGATTTAGAAATCCTTTTAAAGGTTCAGTGTGTAGAATTTAGTGATATCGAGTGTTGAAGTTGCATTTTGCCGCTGAACACCCCTCACCTCACCCTCTCCTTCCAAACATGAAAAAGAACCTGTGGTAGCTTCAGCTTTAATAAAAACTCAAAAGGTTTTTAGTTTGTCCAGTGTGGACTAATGTAAAAACATGGCCGCCTCCGTAGAGAGGACCCCCCTCCATGTAAATATAAGTGTAAAAAGTATTTGAATATAAAGGGCCTTTTCTAGGGTAAAGAAAACTACAATTCATACAATTTAGAAGAAATAAACTAGTGAAAACATCATGAGGATTATTCTACATTAAATTTCTGCCAATAGTTCCCTTTCACCTAAATCTTACACACTGGACCTTTAACTGAAGGGACAGGTTACTTTGAATATCACTGTTCCACAGATTTAACACAGGTTACATATTCATGTCCAAAAATACTAATTTTTGAATTCATGAAGGACATTTTATATCTAACTTACACGTTAGTGGAAATGTTGACTGAATACAAAGCTACATAATATTGCACACTTTGTCTGCATTGTTGTCTTGCACAGTTGCTTTAGACAATCCATCTTTGTCTTTTTATGTCCTGTTTACCTCTATGTAAAATGTGAAGTATACTAATCTTTGTGAAAGTGTACAGTCTGTAATGTGATAGTCAGATGTATTTAAGTCGATACTGGGAGAGATGCACATGCTTCATATTAAACAAATGAGACAATTTTACACTTCTTGAGTGATTTTTAAACCACAGACACATTGGGATTAAAAAGCGATGAAACACAGAGGCTGACTTGTTTTTTTCTAAATGTAGAGAACGTGATGTGTTCTAGCTGAACGGGAAACGGTTTTCAAAATAAACAGCGAGCGTCTTCATTATGTCAGTGTCATGGGAGACTCTAGTGTTTTGTAAACAAACGCAAAAGTTCAGCCCAACAGTCCAATCATCTAACCAGTAAATTCAAAGTGAATTTATATTTTTCAATGCATGCTGTTAGTGTTTCATATCTTTCTGAAGTTTCTAATGTACTAGTGTATTTCACAGGTTATTAATACAAACTGCAAAAACTTTTTAAAAAGGTGACAGGGCAAAGCATCACCTGCATAAACACACACCTGCATTGCTTCATGGCGCCTGAGCTGCACCCCCAGCGTTTTTGTTTTTCACCAACCTCACTGATAAAATCAAACAACCGCTCAGCATCAACAGGAGCAACACGATCACTGCTGCCACAGGCAGTTTGAAGAATGAATATTCACAATGGGGACTGGACTTGGGTCTGGAAAATGATTCATTAAATAAACTACGTTGACTGAGGAACCCTGAAGGTGTAAACCCAGTAAAAAAGGAAAAGCAGCAGATCGAGTGTGGACGGTTGGTGCAGTGACGGTGGAGAACAGATCTGTCAGATTTCTATTCTGAAGGAGATGATGGGAAACTGTAGTTTGGTGGTGATTTTTGTGTTGTGCCACATCCAGGTGAGGGCTTGACTCGAGAGTTTTTTGTTTTTATTTAATTTTAATTTCTGTCTTTGGGATGAAGAGTTTAAGTAAGAAAACTGAAAAAAAAGAAAATGTATTTCACTTGAAATATTTTTTTTTAATCTTAGGTTTATAGCTGTTTCATTCTTTAAAGGAAGCTTTTATTTTGTGAAATTCTATGTTAGATATATTTATGCATACACAGTAGAATCAGATTTATCACCATGTAGGTTTTCATTAGACAAGGACTTTGCTTTAGTGTTTGGTGCATGACAAACATGAAGTAGAGAAATAGAAGGAAAGATAAAACAAAATAAGATGCAGGTAAAAGATATAGATGGAAACCTAAAGTAATACAGTGATAATACAACAAAATATATCTATAAAAAATGTATACAAATATGTTCAGTGTAGAAAATATGTGCAATATATTACAGTTCAGATGTGCATGCAGGTATTCAAGTGGGCTTTGTGTTTTTGTGTGAGAGTTTATTGTTAAATATATACTCAAAGCTTAAAACATTTAAAAATGAAAATAATTTCACACCCATGACTTAAATATTTGTAAAATAATACAAATTATAATAGTAACAGTATAAATAAAATCAAAAAGTATAAAAGTAATGTCAAATACACATGTTACAATATGTTGTGGTGTTTATAATTGGATAATGTCTGATCCTCAGTGTTTAACTGGTCTGGCTGCAGCAGGGATCCAAGCACGCTGCTTGAACAACAGACACAACTGCTTTAATAATGAAAACCCAACAAACAAAAACCTTGAGGTAAATCTAGCTTTTTTAAACATGTTAAACTTCCATTATTGGATTAAATCTGATTCAAATTAAATGTAAAGATCTGACTTGACACCCTGAATTATCCATCTCCCTCATGGGCCTCCAGCAACTCTCCACCTTTGAGTTTCCACATGTGGCCGGCGGTTTGAAACGGATGAAGAGGGAGTGGGTTATTCCTGCGATTAACTTCCCTGAGAACGACAGGGGTCCATTTCCCAAATATGTGATGAAGGTAAATGCATCAGCAATAAATTAATTAAACAGTTTTTAATGCATTTGTCCCTCTTGGCTGAAATATCTGTATGACTGTGCTTTAGATTAAATCGAGCAATGAGCAGAAGGTGGCGATAACGTACAAGATCACTGGACCGGGGGCGGATCAGCGTCCTGAGGGGGTTTTTACTGTTGATCGGCGATCTGGGGTGCTGTACGTGACCCAGCCATTAGACAGGGAGAAGACGGACAAATACACTGTAACTGAAACAAAAGCATAACCTCACTTTCCACGACAGCATGGCTACATCCTTGTGTGTGTACAAGTACTGCTATCAGAATATACAGTATGTGCTGTGTGTTGCAGCTGTGGGCCCACGCAATGAATGAGAACATCATGGCTGAGGAGCCTATGGAGCTGATCATCAACGTCATCGATCAGAATGACAACGCTCCACAGTTCACTCAGAACCATTTCTATGGCACAGTGAGCGAAAGCGCTGAAGTCGGTGAGAAAAGACACAAAAGCTGGAGTCTTCTAAACTCCACTTTACGTCCTTAAATAGGTATTTCAAGCCACTTGTGTGTATTGTTGTCAACAGACGACTTCGTGTTAAATGTGACGGCGGTGGACAAAGATGACCCAGAGTTGACCAACGCAATAATTAGGTATCAGATAAAGAATCAGACGCCTCAAATACCCAGAGGGGACATGTTTACCATAAACCCTCTGAGCGGATTGATCAGTGTGGCAGCAGGAGGCCTGGACAGAGAGGTAGAGTAAAAATACAGTATGAACATCGCTCTGTTCTCGCTCATCTCCTCCCTCACTTCCTCCGAAACTCACCTCTCTGTGTTAGACTCAGCCACAGTACAAGCTGACCATTGAGGCTGCGGATATGGAGGGCGAGGGGTTGGCAGCCACCTGCACTGTTATCATCAGCGTCTCCGACAGCAACGATAATGCTCCACAGTTCACCGTCACATCTGTGAGTTGAAAACATACAAACTCAAAATGATTCTCATATATGTAACTTCATTGAGCATCGTTTGTCTTGATTCCCCTCAGATTTCCACATCAGTCCCTGAAAATGCAGCCGGGGCGGAGGTCATAAGGTTAAAGGTCACGGACAGGGACGAGCCGGGGTCTCCAAACGCCAACACTAAATATTCAATAATCGCAGGCAACGAGGGCGGAGACTTCAACGTCACCACAGGCACCAATAAAATGGAGGGAATCATCAAAACAGCCAAGGTCAGCCAACTGTTTGTATTTCAACATACATGAGTACGTTATACTTACTTCCTTTTCCTCCATCTTCTCCCAGGAGCTGGATTTTGAGAGTGCTGCTGAATTTACTCTGCTGGTGGTGGTGACTAATGAGGCGCCGCCATCTGGGCCGACGTTGACCTCGACGGCCACCGTCATTGTGTCGGTCGAGGACAAGAACGAGCCTCCTGTTTTCAGTCCAGCCGAGATCCTCGTGAGCATCTCAGAGCACGTGAAGACAGGGAGCTCTGTGGCTGACGTCAGAGCTGAGGACCCAGATACAGCCAGGACACAGAGCGTTAGGTGATGGACACACACACGTACACACTGTTTACATGTCCACACATATACGTTGTATGTTTCCGTGCATGTACACTGGTCCGATTGAGTTTTTTTTTCCTGCTTCCAGATATAAAATACACAACGACACTGCCAGGTGGCTGAGTATCGACAAAGACACAGGGTCGGTCAAAGTAAGAGGAAACATGGACAGAGAGTCACACTATGTCAAAGACGGCAAATACACAGCCCTGATTTTGGGCTATGACAACGGTAACGTTTTTTAATTTCTACATTTTATTTTCAATGTTTTATTTTAGATTCATTTAACAACTATAATGACACATGATGGACATATTGAGAACAGGACTGGAGATAGACAAACCCTGAATTAGTAAAAGTTTAAATGTAAAGTTACATTTACGTTACAGCAACTAACTTTCACACCTGAGACTTTCTTCGTCTCTGCTTCCAGACACTGTCCCAGCCACAGGAACAGGAGCCTTAGTTGTGAATTTACTGGACGTGAACGACCATCGTCCTGTGATCAGACAGAGAACAGCCACTCTGTGCAACAAGGACCCTGCTCCTGCCTCGCTGGATATCGTGGACCTTGACGGACCCGGTCACGCTGGACCCTTCATTGTGGAGCTTCAAGGAGAGCACAAGATCAACTGGACCATCAGCACCAACTCCACGAGTAATTCTAAAAAACCCAGTGATGCGATGTGGAAGTTGCTATTTGACCTGTGGTGGTAATGCTTCATCTTTTGCCCTCTCACAGGTAACGGGGCAGCTCTTGCCCCCAAACGGGAGTTGTCGCCTGGTGACTACCACGTGCTCATGCGTATCTATGATGTCGACCTGCTCTACCAAGACAACACGCTGAATGTGGAGGTGTGCCAGTGTGAAGGAGCCGTTTCCACCTGCTTCAGCCCACATTCTGCCCCTCGCCTGCACATTTCTTCTCACGCAACCTCAGTTCTGGGAGTGATTTTCGGTCTTCTGTGTATGTAGCAGGGCTTTCTCACTCACCCTATATGCTACATTCGTTTTTGTTCACTTTATCGTCTTTAGTTTCTCACATTTTTTCCCATTGACTTTAGTGCTGCTTCTGCTGCTGCTGCTGCTGTTGAGGAGGAGGTGGTCAGAGAAGAACGTCTGTCACCTTGAAGATATGCCCAGGGACAACATCTTCCTCTATGATGAAGAGGGAGGAGGTGAAGAAGACCAGGTAGGGAAGGAGGGACAAGAAATATATATATATAATATACAGCCTGTGTTATAAATCTTTATTCAAGACATGTTTTTTTCTTATACAAGAAGTTTAATGCAGTTCAATGACATCTCACTTTTACTTCCAGCATCAACATATAATATAATATAATCTTTTTTAACAGTGCAGGCATAGTATTGGGGGCGTGATGTTCCCATTTATTGTAAATATCATGAATAACGAACTTACTTTGAATTGTTGTCTTTGTTCTTGCAGATTCAGCCACAGAACTGTTCCTGTGCCACTTCCTGCTCAAAACTGAGCTAATTGGCTCTAATTTAAATCTGGTGCTTCCCTGAAATAACTAGACACAAAAGAAACTTAGACCCTCCCCCTAGTGGTCAAAATAACACATCACATAATGGCTTCTACAGACAATGAAGGTTCAGTGTATAAGATTTAAGTGAAAGGGATCTATTGGCAGAAATTGAATATACAATAGAAAAATGTTTACTTTATATTTACATCAGTCCTCTCTACAGAGGCTGCCATGTTTTTTTTACATTGGTCCAGACTAGACAATCCAAACACTTTTTGAGTTTTTATGACAACTGAAGGTTTCCACAGGTTCTGTCATGTTTTGAAGGGGAGGGTGAAGTGAGGGGTATTCAGCTGCAACATACAACTTCACCACTAGATGTCACTAAATTCTACACACTAAACCTTTAAACCACATCTATCTACAGTGGAGATGAGTTGAGAGGCTACTTTTGTTGAAGCCACTCCATGTTTTTTACGTTTATTCACAGTGAGATATTAAGATGACACTTCCTCTTTACTCCTCCAGGACTTTGACCTGAGCCAGCTTCAGAAGGGGCCCAATAACTGTCACAAGGTCACTGACGTCTTCCCGACCGTCCTGAGCCGACCCTGCTTGCATCTCCTGCCCCGAGCCAATGAGGAGATATGTACATTTATTGAAAATGTGAGTGATGTAGAAAAATGTATAGAGCTTCTTTACCAGAATAACTTGGATAAGTGTGTGAAGGTCTGCTGTTTTTAATCAGTACAGGATGTATTGATTTTTAAAGAAGTCTCTCGTATGTGTTTGGGAGTTCATTATTGTTATTATTATTATTATACAGACGTTTCCCTGATTCTCCCTCTAGAACCTGCAGGCTGCAGACGGTGACCCCACAGCTCCTCCTTACGACTCTCTCCTGGTGTTTGACTACGAAGGAGTCGGCTCAGGGGCGAGTTCGCTCAGTTCCCTCAACTCCTCTGACTCGTACGAGGAGCAGGACTATCAGAGCCTGAGTCAGTGGGGGCCACTTTTCAACAGGTTGGCTGACCTGTACACTTGTGGGATAGAGGACGACGACGAAGACACGGAAACACTGCCGGGGAAAACAGAATGGGTGTGACATCTGCCCAACATCCTCACACTGCTTTCCATGTTTGTTTACTGCACAAACATTTACCAACTAAATAATGTTTAGTAGCAGTTTTAATAGTGTACTGTGATCATGTCAAGTCAAGATATTTTGTTCCATTTGTTTGATTGCACAAATAAAAGTAAACATCATGTGCATCGGAGGCCCAGTGTTGAAACCTTCCACAGCCTCAACCCCAGACTCCACCTCAGCATCTGAGGAGAAGTTACACTAAAGATCATTTTAAAATAATGTGAATCTATAAGGCTTCTGTGTCATTATTGTATAAATATCTTTACAATTCTCAGGCACGACTGAGGAAAACTCTTTTAGTTAATGTGTTACCCACAGACTCATTTCTAGCTCGTATTAAATTTTTCCCCCTTTTTGGATCATATTATCTATAAATATCTGTGAGAAACACTGTTGCTGAGAGTCTGTGAGAATCTTGAATTTACAGTGAGGTTATAAATTATGTAAAGAGCTGAAAAAATGTTTTGCCGCACAACAAAAATATTTAATATATAATCAATTTAATAAATTTTTTAAATGCACCAAAGACACAGGCTAAATATCAAGATCATCTTTTTTATCTTTGTATTGCTGTATTTAAAAAAAATATTATTTTGCTTTTAAAGAATCATTTCACCCTCATCATCTGTATTTCTACTGTGATCATGCAAACAAATAAAGTTTTTATTTGTAAATGTTGTTGAGTTTATTTGTCTTTATAACAATATAGGTAGAGAACATGATCGTTGGCAAAGAAAGTATTAATTAAATGTTTCGACAACAAAAAAGATCAGTACAAATCATTCAGTGTTTGTTCAGAGTGAGCCCTGTTTTCATCCTGTTTAATTCCATTTTCCCCCAGTAGAGGGTGTAAATGCATCACAGTGAAATATTGCTTTATGTCAACTCATCCACTTATAAATATTGTTCTCCAGTCCTCATATAAATTACATATTTATGCAGGAAAGTGGGACAATAATAATTGAACTGTTATTTCAATGTGAAAATCATTCTATATTATGATCCTGAAACGTAAGGTCACTGCTGCAGAGGGTTGATCAGAGCCCTGATCTCCTCTCTCTCCTGTGTAAGTGATTATTTTACTCAGCCACTGTGAAGGGAGACAACAGCTAAATACAATGTGAGTAACAAGTCGCTCCACCTCTTACTGAACTTTAACCGTTCACTATCAACCAACTCAGTGAACCTTGACTCTCTGATACTCTGTGTTTCACTGATGAGAGACGGCAGCAGTGGGGGAAGCTGTTAAACGGTTTAAATGTTTCTTATTGTGGTCAGATGGTGTTAAATGTGGACATGAGGGCCTGCGGATAAACGAGTTGAAACTGTCGGGGAAGGTAAGTGGCCTCTCAGGCTGAAATCCAGTGAATCTGAATGAAGTACGTCGGAGCAGTAAATGGGTTTGGCTCTTCAACATTGAGTTACCTGTTGTCTTCCTCTACAGATGACACAGAACATGTTTCAGGAGGGGCTGTACCATGTGTTTTTTAAAGAGAAGCCTTCGACCCGCCTACAGGCCCAGGCCACTATTCACGGGGAGCTGGACAATGTTAGGATCCATCGTTGGTTTGGGACTGTGGTCAACACCAGACTTCTCGTCACTGGGGTGAGGTGACACACACTGGTCAACAGGTGTATCAGCTTTCAAACAGTCTGACCTGCTTCATGCTCCATGTTTCCCCTCAGGTGGTTCAAGTCCTCAGTGCGTTAGTTTGCATTTTAACCACAGTCACACATGCATGTGTGAGCTACAACTGCTCCGTCTCCATGACAACACCTGTGTGGTCGAGCCTATTTGTGAGTTCACGTCAATGTGAATATTTCAGACTGACACAGAGACACTGGGTCATAACTGTTGTGTTGTTGTAGTACCTGGCTGCTGGCTCTCTGGCAATGGAGGTTCAGAGAAAAGCCAATAAACCAAAGGTAAATGTTTTCTTTAATCATTTCTTATGTAATTATTATGCTTATTGTTTCAACTGGAGTCTATTAGGGAGTAAAAAATATAACCATATACAAATATCAATAACAAATAACTGTAAATAAAAAAACACAAAAAACTAATATATACAACTTTTTTTTACATGAAATAATTGCACATCTTTTCTGCATTGTTTAACCTGTAAAATAAAAGTTTTCATATAAGTGCATTGATCTGTTAAAGGCTCTCATTGGCTGATTTGTATTGGTCACACAATACATCAGCCGGACTCTAGTATCGACTCACTTGATATTGTATCTATACAACAAACAGATCATCCTCCTGATCGTTCTGAACATCTTCAGCTTTCTGTTTGGATTCTCTGCTCTCCTGGCCAACAGTCTCATTTTGAAACATCCTGCTGCGCTCAGCACAAACCAACAGGTACCTCTGCAATTCTTCAATTGTTTCTTAATATTCAAGTACACTGTATATGTGGAAATCAATGCTTTCTGTTCTTCTCACTCTCCAGCGTGCCGGCTCATATGTTGCGAGGGGCAGTTCTGTAGCATTCAGTGTTCTGTGTTTTCTGTCATCAATCTACATACTCTTCCTGTCCTGGAGAGGCCTGCGTCGCTACAGTGCTCCTCACGCTCAGGCCTACAACCGGCTCTCGCAGGTAAATAAAGTAGGACAGGATTTAGAAATAGCACAATATTCAGGCTGGATTATCTCATATTGTTGGAGTCTGATTATTTTCTCTGGACAGGATCTGGATGAAACAAATGGACCTTTACTGGAACAAGAGGTGTTCAGTCTATGAAACTCCTGAATTCAAACTAGTGTGGACACACTCCTCAATCTTGGTTACTGATGTTGATCAGAGACTGTGTGAACACTCCTCATGCAAGATTGTTTAAGATGAGATGAAATAATTTCCTGCTGCCTGAGTGAGGCATCAGAAACTTGACATTTACTGAACATAGAAATGTATCATCACATTCAAAAGCCACAAGAAATATAATAGTGTACATAGAGAACAACAATGGCTGCAATTTGCTAATAAAGTTTCTGCTTGTTGAAAGTTGTTGTATAAAGGAGGATTTAACATAAACAGCTGTAAACAAACCTACGTCTCTCTGATTATTAAACTTTTAACATTGATACAGCTGTCATGGGTTTCCAGTTGTTCTGATTTTCAACACTAGGAGGCAGCATTGCTACATGTTTGTCATGTTAAAGTCAGATACACTGATCAACTTCCTCTATTTAGTGGAAGAATAGAGGATGAAAGTGTTTCACTTCAGACCAGGAAACCTACATGATGTTCCACATGTTTTACATAACGTGATCTACCAGATATGAAATGACCTACGATAATTCACTGTTCGGAACTGGTGATCAGTGAGTGCAAAGGTTTTAGGCTCCTTCTTCATGTACCGATCCTTATGTTCAGAGCACTCATCATTTCATTGAACTATGTGAAATGGTGACTACGTCTAACACTCACTTCAGCCTGAGGCCGAGCCTGATTCTAGTGGTAAAGTAACAGCCTATTGTTAGAGTCTGAACTACATCTGAAAAGACTTAAAAAAGCATTTATGGCCTAAAACTGGAGCTGGTCCTCACAAAGACAAATGTCCAAGGCTACACAGACACAGAGGAGGGTGTGGTGTGTGTGAGAGTATTTAAATGATGGCGTATTTCATTAAGAATATAAAGCGAGGTCATAGAGCACTCCTGTAGAACACACTCACACTCACACACTAACACACACACACACACACACACACACACACACACTAACAGACTTGTGCAAGTGAAAAAAAAAATCACAGAGCAGCTAGTTTCTCACGGCATGTCGGGCTAACAGCTTCCAGCTGTTGCCTGGTTTGTGGAGCTGCTATGGGAACACACCGAGTACAAAGACTAACATGGGATTCATTAGTGAACGGACACGGGATGAGAATAAAAGAAAAGAATCGTGAGGTTTGCTGTCCTGAAAGAAACTGACAGTTGATTCATCTGGAATGAACCACTTTGCTGTATGGTAAAACCTCACCACTACTGTTTGAGTGTGTGTTTACAAACTGTGTTGCTGGGGTTTCGTGATATGAGTGCACACACACACACACACATGATCGGATTACTCAGATGTCTCCCTGCATGTTCACTCCAGTGGCTCCATGTTGGATTCACACAGAAAGACGTTTACAGCCAACCCCTGTCACGACTTGGACATGGCTAAATACATGGGAAAAAGAATCGACCCAGATGTTTAATGAGGTGGTCTGCTGCTGGCTGATGAGTCGTTTCCTCTTTGTAACATCTTCTATCTATCCTCTGAGCGTATCTAAGCTCTGACTGCACAGGAAATCCTCCCTCTCCTTCTCTCTGAGGGTCAGAGTGTGAGAGGGAAGTGACTGGGGCCTGGATGTGATGACAAGAGAGTGAGTGTGTGTGGAAGTGATGACTTCATGTGGAGACCCTTTGATAAGTCTCACTGATACACTGACCTCTCAGCTGGAAAGGTTTTAATCTGTGAGGAAACGAGGGAGTAAATAACTTCCTGTTGTTGATTTTCAATTAAAACAAACAGACAAAAGCATCATCTTGAGAACATTCATCAATAATTTATTTTTCTTACTCTCAAGAACCACCACGGCTTCTCATCTTGAAAATTCATCATCAATTTCCAACAACACAGTTTTGAAAAATGTAAAGTTACTATACAAATTTTTAATAGAAAAAAGAATAAATTAACTGTGGAATTCAGTTTTTTTTTCTTATCAATTCCACATTTTTTCCTACAACACCTTTAATGTATTGTTACAGTTGAACAGAACTGATAAAATCAAGTTACATGCTCTATTGTCTGCGAGGGGAAGTGTTCTACTATTTAACGGTTTGTTAAAATAAGCTTCATTTTGCACATCTGGTATTGAATCTATCGATAACAGTGAAGAGATGTCTAGATCCTATGTGACAAAGCAGTAACTGGTCATTTTGTAGCACCTGAAAGGGTCGTTACAATGTCAGAACTAAAAAAAAACCCCAATACTGATTCATATAAAATGGAACATTGTTAAAACAATGAATGTCAATGTTAAAAACCCCACAAAACCTTACGGTGCCCCTCCGCACATACAGGAAAAGACTGATAAAAGTTAGTTCACTTCTCTTGGAGTATTAGAAAGGACCTCAAACATCTTAATGGAGCACAGAAAACATGGGCTGTTTTGGAACTACAGAGGGGGCGTCACACTTCATCACATCGAGCTCTGAGGTCAGAGATTTGCACAAGGTCAGAACGAGTGCCTCTGGGGGCTGGGGATGGGGGGGTGCTGACACTATGGAGCAAGAAGTGCTAATGTTAGCGTAAAGAAGTCGGATTGTTATCAATGGATCTGCATGGCATGCATGGGAAAAGTCTGAGCGCAGACTCAGTGAAAAAAGCTGGGTCAACTTTGAATACACTAAAGTCCAAGCTCCTGATGAGAGTAATGGTAACTGGTGAGTGCTAGTTCCAATCCTGGGTAAAAGACAAATCTGAGCAGACGTTGGTGGATAACTCTCGGGAAACCAGCCATGCATGGAAGTTAAACCTTCTTATGGGAAATAGAATAGAAAGTGGCAGATTACGACAACTGTGCATAAAGGAAACACCACAGTGAGGGACAGAGGAAGATGCGCATCAATGCTCCCAAGTATGATACACGATTAATCCAGAATTGTTATCTGTCATTATCTTCACATATGGTGCAAAGATGGAACAACGGGTAAACATTACTCTGGGGAGCGAAGGGAAACCAGTTCAGGGACAGGGAGAACATGCACAGTTCAACTTCCTTTGTACAAAACCAGGTGTGCTTTTCTAACCCTGTTCTGAATATGTGATTGTTGTTTGGGACGTGAGATAAAATAAGTCGCTCCATCTCAAGAGGCTTTTTCTCACTTCTTATTATGGCTTGTCGTCTGCCCTGACACTGGGGTATTATTAATTATTAATGAATCTGTGTGTTGTAATGAAACATGATTATTTAACGCCTCATCTGTGGTTCTAGCTCTACTAGTTGGCTCTTACTGAACGCACCTTGATACAACTCATCAATAAAATATTGAGAGTTGAAAATGAGCAGTAGTAGCTCCAGCCCTCACACACACTGTTAACGTTGTGCTTTAAACCAAAGTTTCATTGACTTATTCCTTAACAGTTCATCTGAAGCCAAATTGTATGTGAAGTATAATCTTACTGCCTTGCTGTTTAATAGAATGTTTTTAGACTGTGGGGATTTGAAGGGATCTACAGCTCAAACAAGTTGTTGTTCCAGCGTTGAATACAGTACAAGTGTAACATGTTTGGCACAAATATAGTAGTACTCGTGTGTGCCCCTAAATGCAAAGTATTTTGACAGCCAGCGTGTGATCTGTCCAGCACTGAGTTCAGACTGTGTTCAGTCAGGATGCTGCTGTTATGCTGAAGAGATGGACAGAAAGAGGAGGAAACATAGTGCTACAGAGCGACGCATACACACAGCATGGTGTTAACTGCTAAATAAAACCAAGAGGAGACGGGAGTCATAAAAAAAAGATGATTCACTGTTGAGATTTATAACTTAACAGCCTCAATGTCAAAGTACAAGTAATGCCAGCAGGTCAACAGCCAATCATCTCCTACTGTCAGGGTGGAAAATGAAAGATGTGGAGAGGTGGAATGAAACGTTGCAGTAACTGTGATCGTGTGTGGTCATGTTAAAGGATGAGGCTTCAACACGACCCTGCACGTGCTGGCTCAAGCACTGTTCATAATCCACCACCATGCAGCCAAACAAACTGTTGTGGACAGAGAAATCATGTCAAGAACAGAGACGTACGAAGAAAACGTAGATTGATGCCAAACACAATAACCAAAACACCATATTCTCCCTGAGATGCACTAATGAGCCTCAACTCCAGGCGTCACAAGGCAGAGAACATGTGCTTCAGTTCACTCAGGATTTACACACCAGTTCTTAGACTTGTACAATGTTTGTTATTGCTATAGTCCTCATAAATATTCTCGACAGCGTCCTAGAAACCATCCTGTGAATTCACCTCTCATACAGCCGCTTTTCCTAAGATGTGACCAGTCAATCCAGTAGTTGTCTTTGGTTGTGGGTTAAAACTGAGAAGAGTCATGTGTGTTAATCCAGATTTTTGAAAAGTTGTTGTCATCTTTTCTTATTTATAATTACGCAGGGAGAAATGAACAACCAAAAACAAGACAAACAACATTGATTGGAGTAATGAAGACCGACAGTTTGTTTGAGGGCAGGGAATGGGTTATAAACTGGCGGCTCAAATCCAGTACTGATTTGCACAAATGTTAGAATATGAGATATGAAACAGATCCTGGAATGGGCGATGGTTTATATTTTTGTTGAGTTTGAGTTTCTGTGCTCTCTATCCCCATCGCTTCTTCCCCCTTGTCCCGTCGAGGGTGAGTAAAGATGCAGCTCCTTGGTGCTGTAGGGCAACTGTTCAACAGCTGAGGTGGCACTTCTCAGTCTGTCTGATGAAATCAGCCCTTATCAGAGCCCAGTGAGTGTGTCCCTGTCTGGCTGAGCTGTGATAGAGGAGGGGGTATAAGAAAGAGGTGAAATGGATGAAGGGTGGGATATAGGGAGGAGGAGGAAGGCTCATATCCAGTCCACCAATCGGTCGGGGCAGGATTTTGTAGGGTTTTAAGGATGAGGTTGTTGGTTGTCGATGGGAAGTAGTGAGGAACAGTGGAGAGGCAGAAGGAGAGGGCCACGGGACTTTTCTAGGCTCCTAAAGGAAGGTCTCAGACCAGGGTTCCAGGTTTGGCCTTGTCGTGTCCGTACCACTGCACATCTGCCAGCTCTGAACACAGGGGGCTGCTGAGGAAACAGCTGTCATTGAAAGACCTGCGGAGGAAGAGAGAGCAGGATCGTAATGATGTCACAGAACAGCTTCTCATTTCAAAAGGTAAATCAACAAACACATCTAAAAACTATCATCTACAGGATTCTTAGCTGTCAGCATTCTTTTCTAAGAACGATCTCGTGTTGCGACACATCCAGCACATAGTTAAGTCTTTCTATTAGTAAATCCTGTAGGGAATGAGCCACATTATCAGAACACAGAGCAGAGCACATGCAGAGATCAGATACAGCCAGACAAGTACCTGACACACATACCTCCACCCAACAGAGCGAGAAATTGTGAACCCTCGTCGTTGTCAGCCCCCTCACAGTTGATGATACATTTGAGCTGTTTTCAGACATGAACATAAAAATGTCCGGACCAAATTGTGCGGATAATCTCTGGATTTCGCCTTCGTACATGAAGAACGCTGCAGATTGTCTGAGCCATGTTCACAATACAGAAATCTCTGGAGCGTTCAGGCGAGGGGTGGCGCCTGGGTAGAGCATAGAGGAGGCAGGACATGGTATAAACCCTGCGGCCGTCGGCCCTTGTCACCACAGATCTCATTGTCTTCTCAAGTTGACGTCTTTGTCTGCCTCTTATACAAGAATGACATCACTTTTTCATCCTGATATTTGTATTTGTTTATTTCAGTTTCGCATTTGTCTCGTGTTAGAAACCTCATCAAAGCATAATCCTACTTATTATTATTCTCACATGGGTTCATTGGTTTGAACTAGGAGGCTGAATGTCTGCAGCAACTGACTCGGATATCTGCAATCTCACATACAGCCCCTCTGGATAATTTCAGGAGATAATCCGGAGTTCAGTGCATGTCTGAAAGCAGCTTTATAGTCGTGTCCAGACAGATTTCCACAAAATAAAATCTGACTTTGAGTACATTTGTCACGATATATTTTTTGCCTCAAGTTTCTTTTTTTTTTTGCAATATCTGCCTATGCTGCTGCTGTGTCTTCCCAACAGTATACACTCTAGGTTTAGACCACTGGGAGGCCGAAAGCACAGACAGTACCTCTATGCATCAGAGCTGGGCTGAGGGGGAGACTGACAGACGTCCTCAGTAGAAGAGCAGTCTGCTGTGCCTCTAAACCAGGAGAGAGGACACACACACAAGGAAAGAAGGGTTAGTACGGACAGAAAGAGAGACGAAAAAGAAACGACAATATTAGGTGGTAGAAAAAACGTGAGAGATGAAACAGAGGAAATGAAGATGGAGTGAGAAAAACATTTATACAAATAGCGTGAAAAGCCAAGAGGTTTAAAATAGAGTTTAGTTAGTTGAACCAGAATAATATTAAATCTCTCTGAATGGTTAGTTGAACAGTGAAAAACAACAGATACAACAGTCAAAGCTTGTGAGGGTGTTACTGTGACGTTTGGACAAAGATGGTGAGAAGGAAGCTGAGAGGGCAACATCCAGTTTGTCCTGAATTTAAGATGAAGTCATATCTTCAATTATGTTGTCACCCTGTTTCAGCCACTTCATGTGTGTCTCTTACCCGCTCTGCCAGTTGAGGATGTGCTGTGGGCTACAGGGGGGTGTGGGTGTTGCTGCATGTTCACTGGAGGGCGTCATACTCCTCTGGCTGTGAGGGGATGCAGCTATGGGGGAAACTGACATTTAGTCAGGCTGAATAAGATACAGCAGCATGAGATGAAAAGAATGATATCAGAGAGGCCTTAGTGAGGTGAGGGGGCAAAGGAATCTCATAATCTGCAGGTTGTGAGTTCAAGCCTCACACGGGACACAAAGCTTTTACCTTAACACTTTCTCTACCCTCACATGTTTACAGTTTGAATCCAAAATGATGCGTCACCATACATTTGTCAAACACAGCTATTTCCACCTACTCCCATATGCCTTTTGGATTTTCACAGATATCTGTTTGCGTTGCCTAGATGCATGGTTACGTACTGGAGGAGCCGGGGATCGAGCCAGCGATCTTCCAGTTGGTGGAAGACCAGATCCACCTCAGCCCTGAATCGCATAATCTCAAGGCCTTTAGTATTTTCTAAGATTGTAATTGTCAGAGCCTCTGAATACACATAATTATTTGTTGCACTAACAACTCCAAGGCTTTAATCTTACGTCACACAATGATGATTTTCTTTTCTCCATATGACAAAAGGATTATGTGAACACATGAAGGCGACTCACCTGGTGAGCCCTTGGCAAGTGTCCCTACTCTGCTCCCTCGTCCATGTCCCAGAGTGCCTTGCTGTGACCCTGTCTCGGAGGAGTTGGACCCCGAATGTGAATGACTCCTGTCCTTCAGGCTCCCTGAGGACCTCTGGTACCAGCATCGAAGTTCTTCAGACACGGCTGCCCTCCCCCCTCCTCCTCCACCACCCTCTCGCCCCAATGATGGAGTCCGTACGATTTGAGAACGCGACGGCGTGAGACGGCCGCTTCCCTCTCCTCCTTCCTCTCCCCCCCAGGCCTCCTTGTACAGTCCCCCGGCTGTGTAGGAGCTGGATGTCTTGAACTGGGCCTTTACGCTGTAGTGGCCCTCCTGATCGCTCTCCAGGCTGCGCACCACAACAGGGTTGGGGCTGCCCTCCACGTATAACGGGTACTCCTTGATGCGGTACTGAGAGGAGGGCTGGCTCTGGCTGTGGAGGTAAACTCCGTGGTGTCCCCCTCCCATGCTGCCTCCGCCTGATCCTCCAACAGAGCCGTTCTTAGCTGCCAGGTTTGGCATGGAGCCAGAGTTAGAGGAACCCAGGTTTCCAGCAGACCTGGACAGAGAACATAAGTCAACACTGTACTTCATATAGATTTAAATATACATAATATAAAACAGGTGTTGTGTCAAGAAAACACTGTACCTCCCCCACTCTTACCTGTGCCTTTGCCTCTGCCTCTGCCTGGCTTTGGAAGGTGAGTCCTCTCCCAGAGTAGAGTAGTTTGGGTTGCTGCCAGGGGGTCCACCAGAGGGGTAGTAATGCTCTGAGCTGCTTTGGCTGGTGCACGATGAGCAGTCATCCAGTGGGTCAGAGCCATTGGAGCGTCCTGGGACCAGGAAGAAGTCAGGACTGCCCAGTGTTCCCAGGGTGTGTGGGTGTGTTTCAGGGTCGGACGTGAGCAGCTTACCCTGGGACTCGAGGCTGGAGCTACGGTTCCTAAAGTGCTGAGCGAGACTGTGCAGACGGGTTGGACTGATGTCCACTGACCTGTAAGAATTGTCACAAACAATGAATTAAGAAAAATGACCTTCAGTTCATTTGGAAAATGAAAAAAGTAGTTAGACAAATAAGAGAGAGCTGAGGGTCCTGTGACCTCATTCTAATTGGGCAACACATGGTATGCACAGGGATTTAACCCTTGAATAAACATTCAACAATGAAGGCTTCAAGACTGACCGAGTAGAATGTACATAGTGTGGGTTCCTAGACCTCAGGTCCGGGGTTGACGGCATGCTGGACTGAGAGTTCCAGTGAGGGAGGCTCCGGATGGGGCTGCTCTGCAGAGAGTTACTGCCCCCTGCTTCTGCACTGCCAGAGCTTGGGAAACGCCTGTGACTTAAAAAATTGCATGGAAAATGTTAAAATCATTCCTAATTTTTTTAATACATTTATACAGGCATCCTGCATCAACTATAATGACTTAAATACACGTGTGGTTGTTTAACAGTTGACTGAACTAATTTTGAGAAGCATAAACATTAATATATTGCAGCTCTACTCTTAAGGGATGGCTAACATTAAGTCACTCGTACCTTGAGTGAGAGGAGCGTTTCTTGACTTTTTCATAGGGCTCATCCAGTGACGATTCACTCCAGATCTTGGGTTTGATGGGTGATTTATCGTAGTCCAAGCGTGTGTAGTGCAGGTGCCGCAGGCCGTCCAGGGACTGTGGTGGAGGGGGCCGACTGTGAGATGGAGGCCGAGGAGGGAGGCCCTTGTGAGGTGATGCTACTGGAGAGAAGGTGGGGGTTCCTGTAACTTGCGGGTCATCTGAAAAAGAGATATAATTGAAATAAGATTGCACCATTATAATGAACTCTGTATCTGGGAATAATGAGAAGGCTCAAGACTCACCATCGTCCAAAACCAGTGCGTCGGACAGTGAGCTGTCTTCAGAACCAATATTGGCTTCTAAAGGACAGAGAAATAAAAGCAAGGTGTTACAGTAGGAAAGTAGAATATTAGCAACTATAGCTAATATAAATAGTGTTTATTGGTACCTTCAATGATAAGCGATGCTCTCTGCGTAGGTTTCTTTCCAGAGCGGACCCGGTACTCATTGATAGAGTTCTCAATTTCCTGGAGCTTCTTCAGTGCATTCAGATAAGATGTCTTCCTCTGTTTCTTCAGCTTCTTACTGCTGACGTGAGGATCGCTGGCAAGACGCCGGGCTGCCTCTGTGATCTGGGACTGAATGGCAAACTCCCGCTCCAACCGCTCCAGCTCCTCTTCCTGGGATAAGCACACACACACACACGCATACAGAGTTTAGTGCCAAAGCGACACAAGCAAGCGCACAAACACTGGATTTGCTAACAGTTTTAGCAACAGAAATCTACACAGAGTCCAAATACAACAAAGCTCTGTTTGCAGACACGTATTCAGACTCTAACTCTCCCATGAACGCGTTTGGTTCGACACAGACAGAGCTTTGCCAGAGAAAACACACTGAGGAAATCATTTATCTGTGCTGCAGCCCCGCACTTTCTCACCGCTGCATACTGACACAATCTGTCCCCAAATAATAAAACCTCGCCATCAATCCGTCCTCTCCTCCACTACACTTCTCCTGAGATGTGTGGAGCAGAGACTGTACAGTGAACCAAGAAAAATATACTACAAATGTGTTTACAGCAAAATCTGTATAAAAGAATGCATACTGTCATAAACTGTTGTATAAGACAGTAAAGTAGAAACTTGTGAATGTAATTATAGATAAGTGACAGACTTAAGGTAGTCTTGTGACAAAGATGCACACAGTGCATAGCATGTAATGTGTACTCACACACGCAGAACACACATGATTAGATTTCCCTCCAGAGAGAGAGAGAGAGAGAGTGAAGATGTATATTGAATCTGGTCGACATCTTATTGGACGACCTCAGTTCTGTGGAATCCCTCTCACTAACAGCATGTCGCACTGCTGCCAGGGCAGCTTCTGTTTCTGTGTGTGTATGAGATTAAGGTGTTCAGCATAAATTAAGGTACATTATCTTTCTGCTTTGCAAGGCATTTGTGCGATATTGTGTCCACTGGATTCTTTCCAAAGCTTAAAACCTCAGCGACCCACATCCCTGCACACATACACAGACACACACAAAATCCTACTATCACCACTTCCTATGGCGAGCATGCCGCCAGACTATTTTTAGAAGTTCTGCTGTTCTGGAAAATCTACCCATGGTACAAAAAAAGACAGCTAGACAAGGACGCAGTACAGCCACTATTATAAAGTCCAAGACGACTCAGACTGCTGCTTTGCAGTGCTCTCAGTTTCCTTTGCTTTCTTAACAAATGAGAAAGAATCGGAAAAGGTAATAATCATCACCCCAAGACATTTTATGTACAAGGTTTTAAATGAAGTTAATCCTGAACAACCTGTAAGAAACAATTATTGTATAACCTTTATTTAGCCAAAGGTTGCAGGTCATTTTATATATATTCTAAATTGTTTTTTTATAAGTTCACATGACAATCAATATATGTTCAATCAATAGTGAAATATACTACATGTTATCCTTCTGGTTTGTGTTATACTGCTTTGAGGCACTAGGGTACAGCTATGTCCTTATGGGTTTAAGACAGGTGACGAGCCGTAAACACATGTGATTCGTATAACATGTTGTGAAGTCAATGGTGCTTGGGTTTGACACAAGTTTTTTGTTGTGCGATATGTAGATAATATAGTTCTGAGTTTGAATAGAGCATAATGTTGGTAATGGACCAAGCTGAGATGCAAATACGGATCACATGTTTCACCACAGAATAGGACCATACAGATTTGAATCTAAACAAGATGCTCTGCTGGCTTTGCACCTTAAGATCTTGGAGGATGGTAAAACAGACACTATACAATCCTTGATCTGCACTGAGCTGTTAAACACCAGTGATCAATAAAGCCAATCCTCTGCACTACATCATTCAACATCTTCCAATTACTCCAGCCCAGTGTCAGTCAGAGATACATGAAGCATTTTTTATTTGTTTCAAACACTGACACCTCTAGCTGACCTCCTGTTTTCATTAAACTCGTGCACAGAGATTGGATAGTGTAGTTAAGTGCTACTAAGAAGAACTGAGAGTTGAATCTTCACCTCTCCCTTAGGAAGAATTTTCTGCTCGTCCAGTTTGAAGGCTGTACCAATCTTTCTTCTCACTGTGGGCGGCTCCTCTCCCACATCCAGAGGATATTCTTTCGGAAGCTTTCCTGTCAGTTCCTGTAAAATAAAAGATGGTGTCAGGGTAATAAAGTGAGGAAAGAAGAGCTAAAAGGTATTTTGTTTTTCAAGGTTGGGTTTTCTCATACCGCCTCTCTGATGCAGATGCTCTTCAGTTCCTCTAGTCTCTGTTTTAGTGTTTCCTCCAGAGCTTCCTGCCTGGCCCTTAGTGCTGCCAGCATGTCCTTCTTAGCTGTCTGTGAGCTGTCTGATTCCTGAGAGCCTGTGGGGTACAGCACATGACATGAGGGCAACATTCAGGAGCGTGTGTGTGTGTGTGTGTGTGTGTGTGTGTTTAGAGTTGTGGGGACGTCTTGTGATGATGCTTGTGGAGGGGAAGGAGAAATCATGCCTGCACCTGCGAGCCTTGCAGGATGTTTACAGGGAAGTGAATGGAGTGTTTCGATAAGGAAACTGAGTTTTAGTGTTTCAAGGAAGGGGCAGTTTAGGACAAAGTCTGTGACGCACAATTTCCAAGACTCAGATTGTGCCAGTCTTGTTTGCAACATGCCTCGTTGAAAACAACAAACACTACGACAAACACACACATTCTGTTTCTCTCTGTTGCTCTCTCTGTGACCCTCTGTGGTTCACTATGCAGTCAAATATAGCAACAAAACAAAACTAGCCACTGCTGAAACTTGTGGCAGCAAGAAATGTTCTATTGTTCCAAAACAGATGTAATTGAGTTCAGTGTTTTAGATCTGGTGAAGCAATGTTTAAGAAACACTTCATTCAACAGTTTTAATTCAATTTCACAAATCCTACAATCTTTCGGTTTAAACTGCCACAGACAGAGACAAGTTGGCTGTGGCAGTAAAAAAAATATTTTTTAGTGGCAGGTATAGGATCGCCAGCTCACAGGTTAGAACCCTTCATTAAAACATGTACACTATTTGGTGGTCTCTATGTATTGGACAGCAAGTATGATTATTGCATTTTTTCTAGAGGTGCACTTGTAAGGCCTTAAAGGACCTAACCCAGAAATACATTTCAGATTTATTGAGCTGGTGTCCCCTCCCTGCTGGTCACTCCCAACTTGCAGTTTGTTACAAAGGACGATCAAGCTTTGGCTATTATAGAGTCCCAAAACTTTGGAACACTCTGCCCATTGAACTCAGACACACTCCCTCGTTAGCTTCTTTTACATTTCTCTATCTCTGAGGCAGTTTTGGAACATTTGATTTCCATTTATTTATTTGTTTTACTTTAGTTTTAATATTTTTTCTTTATCTCTTATTTAACCAGACAAGGCAATTTAAATAAATTTTTTTGGTTTTATTCCTTCCTGTTAAGTATTTTGTAACCTTAAAACCAGTGCCATATAAGTAAACTTTATTATTATGATTTGACACTACCACTCCTGTGACATATTTATGTTGATGGGCAAAGATGGCCTTCAGTCAGCAAGCTGTAGATCATGAAATCAACAAGCTGACAAACACCAATGACAAAAGTGACAAGACTCAGTCAGATAAGACAGAGACACAGTGTGTGAAGAGCCGGGGGGTGGGACGAAAGAAGAACAGAGAGGAGAGAAAAGGAGGACAGGATACCTGGAGAGATAAAGGGCAAGGATTAGGGAGGAAGGGAGAGATTTATGTATCTTTACTGATGAAAATAGAGGTTGAGAAAGAAACAGATGCAATCAGGAGAACAGGCAGGAAATTATTATTGAAATAGAACATTCCTGACAATGGTAATTGATTGATAAGATGTACTGTAATCTAAATAGCTCCATGCCAGGACTCACATACTTTCCAACGCAGTGTTACAGTAATTTTGTTTTGCAAAATGTGACACTTTACATGGCTGTTTGGGTTTAAAAGGGCATTTTCCTCTCTATTCTAATTTTAGCTCACGTCTGTCACACTCATAACTCGTTCAGCACAGATAAGCATTGTTTCAAAGGCTGTTGCAAAGTTCTCTTCATTCTTTCACTCTCTAAATTTAGAGGGGACCAGGGCCTCTGGAGGATGAGTCCGTGTGACATGGGTGGGTGGGAGTGGTACATACAGAAAGACAGTAGGTGGGTGGGTGGGGGTGTGTGCACAGTAGATGTGTGAGAACATTCAGCAGAGATTCAGAGGCCTCTTTCCCTGAAGCAGCTGTTTCTGTCCCTCCAGTTGTCAACGAGACTCCCCCTCATTACCACACATGCAACCACAAATACACTCACATATCAGAATTCCTCTCTCCCTCTTTGTCAATGGACAAAGCCGCCCACTTGCCACCCACACGTATCCTCTATATACTGACCTGAGGAGAGCAGACTGCCACTGCTGCCACTGATAATCTTGCCCTTGCTGCCCATGTTGGCAAGTTTGGAGGTCTTCAGAGTTCCTGTTTCCGTGAGGTCTATCGCAATTTCACTCAAACTCCGAGCTGCATGGATCTTTGACTGGACAGACAAGAACACAAAGAATTTGTCAAGATACAGCATGAAGCAGTTTAACTGCAAACCTCTTAACAACGCTTGCAGAGTTTGCTTGTACCTTTCTAATTATGTCTGTGGTCTTTGTGTGTCTGTGTGCTTTGAAGTGTGTGTCTTGTGAGACTGACTGACCTTGCTCTGCTTGCGGTCCAGGTAGAACTGGTGTTGGCTGATGGCCATGGCCCAGATGGACTTGATGAGGGCGGGACAGGCGTACCACGTATGCACAGCGATGCCACTGTGACCAAACGTCCTTCTTGTCACCGACGCCCTACAGTAGGAGCGGACACAAGGCCTCCTTATATACACTGAATACAAAAGACAGCTACACATATGCAGCGGTGAAAACACTCAACTACCCAACCACCACTACTATTAATAAAAAGACTACTTCTGTGGCTGCTGTTGAGAAGGAGCAAAATAATATGAAAGGTCTGAGAGAACAGACCTGATTGAGATATTTTTTTTGCAGAGCCACACACGATGTTCCCCATTGTTTACTCATCCTTGTTAAACACACATCTGTAGCTGAGCAACAGACCCGCTCGCACCAAATGACAGCTTCCTACAAAGAAAACACCACTGCTCTCTTTTTCACCCCGTCTGTCTCTCTGTCTCCCTTTTCCTCCCTCCCTCCGTCTGTAGAATAACACTCAGCATATATAGCCATGTTAAATAAACATGAGAGAGGTCACTTCCTCTGCAAAACAGCCATCTCTTAGCCATCTCTCCTTCTATCAAGGGTTTGCCTCTTCGTGTGTGTGTGTCTGGGAGAGAGCACATGATTTGGTACATGTGGCCGCACAAGTGTGTTAATAATCAGCCTATCAATCTATGTCAAGGCTCCACTGGGACATCCCCAATATCTTGCTCTATTGCCAAGACAAATTCTGCAACCATTATGAAATTAGATTCAAATCTCTCCTTTCCTGCACCGCACCGTGTGTAGCTTCAATCTTTACACATTCACATATGGCACAGTGGTAATGTACAGTAAATGCTACTGGACTGCATCCATAACTGAGGGGAAACTAAAATACTTCGAAATAACATTCAGTCACAAAAAAAGGGGCCATATGAGATAATAATCATCCAAGCAAAGATTCAACATTTAAACTTGAAATAAAAAACAAACAAACAGTGAAAATAAAACTGTAGAAAGTTGACAACTTGCTTGAATTTGTGATATAAATTTACCTTCTGGGGTCATGAACTTCCACTGAAAACTTCTTCTCTCGGAAATAGAGGTTCTCCAACTGACGCCATTGGAACACCTGAGGTTCAGGAGAAACACACAATCCTCAGAGCTTGCTCGTGCAAAAACATCCCTCGCATTAAATCCACGTAGCTTTCAGCCAAATCCTCTATTCTCGTCTATGTATGTTCCAATTTGTTTTGAAAAAAAAATGCAATGGATAAGGAGGAGGAGAAAAATGGAAGGAGGAGTTATGAGCAGAGAAGGAGGTGGAGAGAAGAGGACCTCGTCTGGAGCTCTCTGATCAGGTCCAGACCAGGCAGTCCTGTCCACAGCGGATCCCTGCGCTGGATGACCTCACTCTGGAGAGAGACAGTGTGAGAGGGAGGAGGCTTTCTCTCCTTCGCTCAACTTTTTTCTCCTCCCCTCTTTTCTGTCCACTTTATGAAACATCGGCTTCTCTTTAAATGAAGCCAAAGCCAGCTGGGCGAGAAAGTTTCCCCCAAGATGTAGTCCGCAGCATGTGTGTGTTGCTTAAATCCTCCCAGACACAAGGGAACCGAAAGTTTTTGGATGGTGGGTGTTCACCATCTGTAGGCATGTGTGTGTGTGTGTGTGTGCTGGTGGAGAGAAAGTGTGTGAAGTTAAGTTTCCACCTCTCTTTGCTATGAGCGTTCAGGAGGGAGGGGGGCGTTTATGCCTTTGCTCCTCCTGACCCCTCCTCCCTCCCTCAGGGACTGTGTTTCCTGCTCTGGGCCCTGTGGTTGGGAGGTGTGTGTGTGTGTGTGTGTGTGTGTGTGTGTGTGTGTGTGTAACAAGGGGTCAGGGGAGGAGTGATGAAGGCAGAAAAAGCTTTATGTGGCCCCTGCAATTGAAGTGCTCTTGCTTTGTTTAGTCAGACCTCTGTGCTACACACACACACACAAACACACACATACACAAGTAACACAGTGACATTGTCGGAGCCTGTTTCTTGTTAAGAGAAAAGGTGGTGTGGGCTATTTCAGAACACAAAGGGCCTGCAACTATCAGCTGGAGCAGCCATACAAACATAGACATACACCACACACACAAACGTCTGACAGCCACACACCAGCCATTAAGCGAAGAAAGTAGAAAACAGGCAAACGGGAATGGAGACAAAGTCGAAGACCCAGCTATGACAGGATGAGGGAGGAAAAGAACGAGGAGAAAGGGAGCTGAGGGAGGAACAGGTCACAGCCTAGGAATTTGAACAGGCTGGGAAAACAATGGACAGATGGATGACAGGGAGGAAAGGGAAAGAGGGGGAGAAATATTACGAAGACAGAATGTAAACACAGTCTAAAGTATGCATGTATGCACGATGTGTGTGTGTGTGTGTGTGTGTGTGTGTGGGTGTGTAGATGAGAATGAAGAAAGCAAACTGGTGCTCTTATCAAGATTCTTTGTGTACCGTAACTTTTCAATGGAGTATGAAGTGCTAATGTAGCATGGTGCTATTAATAGTGGGCAGGGAAGATAGTGAGTTTGTGTTGGTGTGTGTTGGGGTGTGTGTGTGTTTGTGTGTGTGCGTGTGTTTGTGTGCTGGCTACATGTGGAGCGGAGCTGTAGAGATAAAACAGGTGTTTGTAACTGTGTTCAGGCACGAGACCACTACAGTTATCTTTTGCAGTTTTGCTGTATTTTGTAATTGGACTTTGATGTTTTCAGGATAAGCTTTACATCTGTACATGTGTGCAAATTGTGTTAAAATGTAAATGGAGAACTTTAATAAAAGTTACACGACTTTGAACAAAGGGCAACAAAGTCAGTGTAGAGTTTAAAACTAGACATGTTCCTGTTACATATGCCTCTTGTGATAATGGAACCTTTGTAGTCTTTGTCACTACTTTGTGAATAGCTTTAATATCTGATGAAATCCTGCTGACAGACTCTTTCTTGATCTCTGTTCTGTTATTAGGGCGAGGGCTGTGTATGTCTATGTGCGTCGGCTATAAATCCTCACTGTGAAACACTTACTGGCACTAACACACACAAAAGAAAGGAAAATGACTGGTCATTGTTCATAAACAACTGGGTGCTCATATGCACAAACCCATGTCTGTCTCATAATAATATCTGTGCACATGATTACGCATCCGTTACAGATGGAAAGGTCAGATGTGATAAAGAGTAAAGGCCTTTATTCTGTGCAGTCAACTCCCTGCGGACTCTGGGAAGAATAGAAAGTTTTAATAGCAAAGGTCAGAATAACTGGGAGGCCAGGTATTATTGTTTTCTAGAGGTGGACCTGAGGGTCCCAAAGACTATTGTTTCACCCATAGGTGGGGTTCTGGTGTGCAATACTACATCCATCAGTTGTCATGGAGATACAGATACACTGTGGGGTCACTTCCTGTTGTATGTGTTTTGGTTGTGGCTTTCGGTGGGAGTAAATTTATGGAAAAACCAGAAAAGGGCAATATTGCTGCCTATTTGCTCAAAATGCAACATAGACAGAGGTTGGCTAAAGTAAAGGAGTATGTGAATCCAATGCAGAAAACAGAAACCTGCACTAAAATGCAAGTACGATGACGACAGTTTTCACCATAGTCATAGTGTTTTTCATTGTGGCTTCATCAGTGTCCACAGAAGCTGCTCCGTGTTAGCCTTAAGTCAGTCAGTGTGGTAGCCAGTCAAGACACAGACCCTATAATTTCTGCCTTAATAAGTCAGATCCCACTAACAAGGCATTAGCACGTGTGTGGTTAGGTTGCAGTCCCCTGTCAGTGTGTGTGCTGTATGTGGCCTGTGGTGAGCTGAGGGGGAAAAGTACTATCCTCAAATAAACGTGGAGGGTGCAGTGGATGGTTTACATTTAGAAACAACAGGAACTCCCCTCGTAAAGACACCAATTAAACACAACTGCCTCCAGAACACACACACACACACACACACACACACACACACACACACACACACACACACACACACACACACACACACCTACAGTATAATACTGCACAGCTGAACATCACAGTCAGTTATTAATGAATAAAAAAGGTTTGTGTTGAAAACATAAACTAATTGGTTCAAAATCGCTCATAGTTAGTGTTCTCCCTCTCCCTCACTGAGTCACTGGGCTGAAAACGTGAACTATGACAAACTGGTGATTACACTCTGACTCAGTGGTTACTGGTAGTGGACTGGCCGGCTGATCACCAAATCAAATGCTCTTCCTCCAGTCTGTTGAAACAGGGATGACTCTCATTACTAAAATAACATGGAACGCTGCTGGTGACCTCTATGAGTCTCTTTCTGTGAAACGATGAACAGCTTTAAAAAAGAAGCAACTCTCTGTAAAACCTCAACTGTGTTCACTGGAGGTTTTAATCCAGAGAAACGCAATGAACAAACTTCTTTTCAGTCAAACTCCACAGACTACAATCACAGTTTGGCAACAAGGAGGCCCAGTCTCTTTCTCCTTTTCAAAACACGTGTGTGTGTGTGTGTCTGTGAGGGCGAGGGAGAATGAGAAAAAGAAAAGAGAGAGGAGAAGAAAGTGAGGGGCTCAGTACTGAAGCTTAACAAACCAATGACTCAGACTGACTGTTGCTATGGCAGCTGAATGCTTGATAAGTCATTTGTGTGTGAAGGCTTTTAACTCTTTCCCTCCACCTCTCCTTCTTTCTTTATTGTGACATTTATCTCAATCAAAGCCATAACTTATTTCTTTCACGCTGTTCAACCAACACGTCTAAACATTGTGCGATTAAAAAAACACATGGTTTGTGACCTTTTCACAGGCTTCCTACCTTAACCATAATCTGGCAATTGTGTCTGAGTTCAGTGTGAAATAAAGTGGATTGTACTGCACCCCCCCCCCCCAAAAAAAAATCACCATGGCGATTTAACACCCTGGCAGCCACATGATTTGGAGTATTCAGGAATGAGGCAGGATTAGGGCTCGTGACTGGAATGTACCTAACGTGACACACACATACGGCACAGTGTTAGCAGCAAACAGGAAAGCTGTGGCAGACAGGAAGTATTCATCAGGATGGTGAGTTCAGAGTTCAGTGGAGTTCCTGTGTGTTAGAGAGTGCGAGCATTTGTTAGTGTGTGTGTGGGTTTATGAGCAACACTGTATGTGTCTCGGTGATCAGTCAGTATTGTGGGACGCTGTTAACCCCATTAACATCCTATGAGACATGGCTGAATGCCAGAGATGAAGGCCCTAAACAGGACTGGGGGTCGGAGGTGAGGTAAGAAAGACTTTCACAGACGACCCGCTGGGTGGAGACTAGAGGCTGGAAGGAGGACTTCATCCACAGAAATAAAAGCAGGACAGGACGCAAAACATTCCAAGACTGAATGTCTCCAGAGAGTAGTATTCGATCTGCATTGTTCGTGGTCTTGCAAAAAACAAATCCCCAACTCACTGAATGGAAAAAACGGTGAGGTGACATGGCACAGACAGAGAGCCGGAGAAAAGATCTTGCGAAACAATGAAACAATATCTTTAAGATCATTATGTTTTCACAGAAACCAAAAAACTGTGGTAATACTTTAGTTGTGGTACAGAGATCAGAGGGGAGCACCATCTCACCTTCCTGGGCTTGATCTTGTCCTGGTGGTCATACTGAAAGATGCCTTTATAGCTCAGACCCAACCACCAAGGGATCCCTTGCTTGTCCTACAACACACAACAAAAATACTTCAGGAAAAAGTGAGCATGAGAATGGGACGGACAGAGAGAGAAACAAAACAGAAGCAGAGACAGATACAGAAAGAAGTGTACATTTGTTTTTAGCTCAATCCTATCTCCAAATCCCAAGCTGCCTGCTTGCAGGTTCTGAGTGAACAAAAGTGTGTGTGGTGTGTGAAAAAAGAAAAGAGTAGTAAAACTGTACCTTAACAGCATAGTAATGCACTCCATATGTGGGCAGAGACTCTACAATGCTCATATAACTGTGAGGAGCAGAAAGACAGACATGTAAGGGTTACAGAAAACACAACCTTCCATACAGACGACAAACACAACCACAGACACACACTTACTTTACAATAGCTTGGCCTCTGGACTGCCCGTTGAGCTTCTTGTAATGCTCTACGACCCGGTCTTCACTGTGAGAACAATCAGGTGGAAAAAGCATTATTCAGGAAGGAGAGGGAAAGTTTGTGCAATGTTCTGGTGGTTTTCTGAATAATTAACTTGTCTCTCACCAGTAGGCCAGGGATGGGTGCTCCTTTAGGGCCTGGGTGGGCAGAGCAGGCAGCTTTTTCAGGTCAGACCTGGTTGCATCATTACTGGAGGGGAGGAAACCACAAGACATGGTCAACACTACTTCTGAAAGAGCGATCGTTCTCTGCTGTAGGCTTTATGGTTTCATGTAAAAGCTGCCTGAGCAACACAACCGAACTGTTGAAAGACCAACACTTAAATTATCTAGCATAACAAGCTAAAGCAAAACAGATAATTTTTCCCAGTACTGCCTCAGAATTGAAATGTTAACTTTGGAAGAATGCAAAGACAGGAACTACGTTTAGTCAAGAGGAATGAATACAGATGTCCTAAATGCTTTGTATTTCCAAAACTGCGAACTATTTCTTAACAGCTGCAGGGACACTGACAGTTAGAAACAGAGGAGAGAAAACTGGGACAGAAACACACCTTTAAATAAAGGAAGATAAAAACAGGGATGGGAGAGGAAAATGTAAAGATATAGACAAAGTAAATAAGACAGAACCACGCAATTAGCCAAACAGACTTGGCCGTGGATTCAGTTTTCAGACCTCCAATGGCAGAAGGTCTTAATATCCCGCTCTAATCCCTCAGCCTCTCCCTGGCATTTGCCAAGGCCCCGGAGGATTGGGGAAAGCCCTGGGAACATGACAACCTATGAGCTAAAGCCCTGGAAGAGATCCATCCCGTCCACCCCGCCCAACTGTTCTTCTATGTGTGAATGCAGCATAAATTGGTTGATATTGATTCAATAAGTAACCCATAAGAATATGTGGCGGAGGTGGCCCTAAGGAAACGGCTCTATCAATTAAAAAATAAAAACCAATGGAGTGTGAGCACTATGGCAGGTCTCTAAATCATACTGTGAGATACAGTCTGAAAATGATTCCACACTTTGTATCAATATATCGCCACAAAGAGTATTTTGGAGGAGCAGCAGTGAGAGGTATATGGTAATGAAGATCTTTACTGAGCGCAGGGTGTACAGTTCTTTAAGAGGCATGTGTGTGGCAGGAAGGGGTAAGGAAAGTGGGAGGAGGTTGAAACGGTATGTCTCCAGAGTGTGTCAAATTCCAGCCCTCTTTGGGATGCTGTGTTTATTTACTCCTTTCACAGACGGAAATAAGGTCAGAGGTGATGACTGCTCTAGTCTGTTATCTGTGCAATACAACAAAGGGATGAGGGGGATGAGGGATGACACACATTTAAGCCAACATCACACAGATGTACGGTGCGTCTGAAGAGCCACATGTGGGCTGTAGAAGCTCACATGAAACATCTGTGGGCGGCTGCGGCTGAGGGGTAGAGCAGTCGTTTTCAAATCCCATCCCATGCCAGAGTGTCCTTGGGCAAGATGTTGTACCCTGAATGGCCCCTCATAGATGTTGACTGCACTAATTGGAGGTTGCTTTGGATAAAAAAGTCAGCTAAATGACATGTAGTGTAATCTACACAATTGTGGAACTCTGTCACTACAGGATTTAACTACCATGAGTTTTCAGACAGATGCTGATATTTTTTCTTAATTGATGTCAGGAAAATTTTCATGAGCTCTGTCTTAAACAGGAGGGATGTAACTCAAACAATTACTCGATATCCATGCTTTTCTCTTGAGCACAGGCTGAAAGCAAGTGAAATAAAGTGGAACAGGGATGGAAAGAAGAGGGATAGAAGGAGGGAGAGATGTAAATGAAGCTCGGAAACAAAGACAGTTGACAGTGATACACCTCAATGCTCAGGGGAGCAGGGGGGAAAAAAAGACCACTGATATCATTCCTGTTGTCTCTCTGTCTGTGTCGCTACCTTCTGAATATCAAGGTACTAACCAGCTATTCCCATCACGAGGGACGAAATAGATGAGACAGAATATGTGACATAAAGACTGGTAAAGGAGAGACGTAGCTTGGGTCATCACGTATCCATTACACATTACACAAACATACTGGTATCAAGATGCCTTGTTTTGAAGCACAACTAAGGAAAAGAGGGTCAGAAAACCAACAGCTCTCTTCATGATGTGCTACATCACCACAATGACTGCTACAGAGCTATATATTACCCATGAGTCCTCAGTGTGGTTTCAGAAGCCTTGTGAACATTACAATCTGTAACTGACCTCTCACTTTTATGAGAAAATTTTCCTTGGTTGGAAAAACTTGATTACAGATTTGATTTCTTGGTGAGTTAATCTGATGCCAAGATGGTCACTTCCTGACTAAACATGAAGTTAATCCTAATCATAATAACAGTCATAAATAGTGAGACAAATAGATCACCACATACACTGCTGAACAAGGTCTTTGTCTTTACATATCCCCCTAGTTACTGAAGGGGATACGTTTAATATGTATTGATCCCTTTAAATAATTGATGCTTTATCACTGTTGTTCAACACTATGCCCTGTAATCTAAATGCTCCCGGCTACGAGGACAAACACATGTACATTACAAAAGATTGATTGCTTGTGTGCTTACCTGGTGAAATCACCTTTGGCCTCCTTTTGAAGAGAAACAGAAAGAGAAAAGTATAGTGAGATATTAATGTGTGTTTCTGTTCTGTTTGCAAATGCGAACATGCAGACAGGTCGACTGCTCGAGAATCAGAGAGAGACACCCTCCATCTGGAGTAAAATCTCAGAGGGCCTACAGAGCAGAGGAGATACCTGATACTGTACATCTGCACACACACACACATACACACACACAAACCACTCAGTCTATATGTAACATGACCTTGCAGTGCTATGGCTAATGGACTAACCTATTCTGAGAAAGGGATAGGAGAGAAAGTGCTGGAAAAGAACAAATATCTCCACACACACACACACACACACACACACACACACACACACACACACACACACAATATCTTACTTGTAAAATATAGGAAGCCAATTCAAAGACAATCTCACTGTCCACCTCAATAAGCTCCTGAAATGAGAAAGAGAAAACAGGGGACGTGAATTTCACATTCTGCGTTTGTTGGCATCAAGTGAATAAAAAAAACATACACTATGGTGATGTGGAGAGTAAAAGCAGACATGTCTCTGATCGTCATCCATTTCTCCAAGACGGGTCGGTATTTTTTTTCATGTTCCTACCACTCTCCCTCCATGTTTCTTTCTCTCCCTGCTCTGATTTCATGAGGATGGAGCTCAGAGATTAGAGGCAAAGTAATGGGGGGTTGGGAGAGGTTGTTTTTAGGGAGTTGGGGGGAGGCACGGATGCTCCGGTTACTGATTACTCAAAAACATTTTCATTTCTTTAAATTAAATTTTTGGGCGGATGGAGAAGGAATGAAGCCGAGTGCAGCCATGGTTGGTTAAATGTGTCTGTGAGTGTGAGAGATTTCGGCTGCTTGGACATTTCTTTAACAGTATGATAATCAGTACATTCTCATGCTTCCACATACACATGGCTATTTTTGCAGCATTGCGGGGGGGAGGATAAGGGATAGTGGGCAGCGAGTAGTAGTGGGTCAAGTATGCCAGGAATGTTCCCTATACAATCCGTCTCCTAATTAGTTGGGAGATCAGACGGCCAGAATGAAACACTAGACAGTGCAAACCCTCCCTGGGTGGTACAAAGATCCTCACACACTGTGTGTTTTTGTGCTTTATGCCCACAGCAGAGAATACAAATGTTTCTCATTAATTATACTAACAAATCCTCATCTGCTATGTTGTATCTGCACAACAGGTTTACTTAAAATACGTTGTATCTCTTGCTGTTCCTCTGGAATCATAATCTCTCATCGGAGTTACGAGGGAGATTTTTTGTGCTTCACATGTTTTTTAGCTGATGTTCTTATCAAGAGATGTGAGATGAATGACCCGATTGGAATCAGGTATTTTCTTCAAGAACATTTTACCAGAGCTGCAGGTGGGAATGATCCAGATACCTTCTGTTTGTGGGACAGTTTCATCTCTGTCATTCAAGTTTCAGCAATCTCGCTAATGGACACATGTACTGGATGTATGTATTTGCATGGTGTTTCAACTGAGTCTATAAGTTTAAACTGATGTAAAACGTAGTTGTTTGTTTTTTTTACTTTTTCACAATATTACATGAACAAGAAACCTCTATATTATACATTCAACAAACCTTTGATCCGTGCAAACGTTCATACATTACAAGTAACATGCTAGCTCTGTGTTCATTTCATTCATGGATGATGTACAATTCTAAAATGTACTGTTTCACCAGTTTCAGCACAGACAATAATTTGATATCTTTTGATATCATCATTTTCTACAAGGTTTTTACTGAGACATGTATGGATAATTATTTTTCCTTTGGGCCCCATACGCCCTCTTCTGGACATAACAAATAACTGCATGACACTGTCCACCAAACTTCAGTAAGGCAGTTAAACTAATGACAAGACTAATTTGTTGGTAAGTTGTTAGTAGAACATGAACTTGGTAACTAATTAAGACATCAATTTAAACAAAAATCAGCTGTCTCTGAGAGGGATCTTTTAAGTCAATTGCTAAATGCACAATATACATCTCGAGGCTCGATTTGTCAAATACTTGCATGTCCTTTTTGCGTTTGGATTTTATTTTTGTGCAGCTTGCTGTTTGTCTCTACTTAGAGGCTTACTTCCAGTGCCATTTTAACAGCCGAAATAAATATGCCTCAACATTAACAAATGGCAGTGAATGTGTCACATGATTCAATAGATGCTGGAGTGTCGTGCAGTGCATTACATGGTGGGTAATAGCTGATGCAAATGGTTCACATTTTCTGCTTCACCTTATCAGTGTGGAGCATAGAAGTCCAAGATGGCCTCATGGGGCTTCTCTTCATTTAGAAGCAAAAATAGGGCTGATGAAGTGGTATGTTAGCAGCGGTGCAGAGCCCAATACTCACATAATCACAGCGTTACAGCCCAGAAGCAACTCTTGTTTTTAGATACAAAATTTCAAAGAATCTCAACGGCTCTCAAATAAACCGTACTAAATATAGCACATTATGACAACAAATCAATGCATTTACCTTGTAGATGATGGACTTTGCATTAAGAAAGAAAAGCTCAATAGTGGCATTGTCCTTCAGGTAGGATATACTCTCTATGTAGAATCTGAAAACACAGAAAGAGAAACCTCAATATATCTGCCACAATAAATGGAACAATGACAGTGGTTGACCTTGAATACCATGATAAACCTTATAAAACCCATAAGGAAGATTTGCGATGTACAATGTGTTTGCTCCACAAACAGGAATAAGTACAGATTTAACATGCAGACGTGACAGAAATAGTGCAATGACCAAAGTGACCAGAGGGGGGCACACCATACCAAAGGCTGATCGGAAGTGCATGTCCTCTCTCTCTCTCTCTCTCTCTCTCTCTATCTCTCTCTCTCTCTCTCTCTCTCTCTCTCTCTCTCACCATGGTGCCTGACCATGATGAACTGTTAGTCCACAATCTGAATATGCACGCACATGTGCAAACACGCACTCACACACATACAGTCCCCAGCAAATAGAATGTGCACATGATGCACTTGACACATTGTCTACCTCTCTGCTTCATCAGCAGTGATTCCACACACACACACACACACACTGGAAAGAGAGAAGCACAGTAACCCACTTCTGGCAGAGTGGTGAGCAGGGAACTAACATAATAATGCAGTCTAAATTTAGCCCATGAATGCATACAAAGCCAGAGGGGAGCTTGGATGATACAGTAGGAAGCTGTTCACTGCAAGCTCCACTCTGGTGGAAACGTATATCAAAAGATGCTATATGGTGCAGATGCTCTCATGTGTCCCCTGACATATCTTTTCTAGTCCCCACCGTGGATTGTGCATAAAATTGCACCGTAAAGTCACATGTATCCACACACACGATAAACACTCTCAGTATGACTTGATAAATCTCTGCGAATAGGTCATAAAGTGACCTAAGCACATGTTCTGATGAACACACTTGAATGAATGTGCTCATCTGTGTGCATTAGAGTGTGTGTAGGTATTGAGTGAAAGAGATTGTAGAAGGATCAATATTGGAGGGCGTAAATCACGTTATCCATTGAGCTGCAAGAGAGAAAGAGGAACCTTGTCAATATTCAGTGTGAACATTTAATTAAAGCCACTGTGCTGATGAGACATACACACGCTGCCAGCACAGCGGCAAGCATGCAAAAAGACACCCACTGAATCAACAGGGGGTGGGCATCTGCCTAGCATTTATTGGTAACACACAAATACCACATAAATATATGACGTACACAAAAACCCCTACACCCTGAAAACCTTTCATTGTGTTAATGAAACTAATATGCTTGGACAGATAATGGATTCAGGCCTGACATTTGGGCTGATTGTTGTTCCAATAGAGTGCTGAATCTATGCATGTGTGTGTGGTTACATGTACTGTATCTTAAGCCTGTTTACACAGCTTGTTCAGGGTGGGAATGTTGCATCCTAATGCCACCTCAATATTCTGTGTAAAACGAATGAAAACAGAATGTTAGGGCGACGTCTTTCTGACGCAACTGAGGTAATCACAGAGCTGGATCGATACATGTGTGAAAGTGGGCGCTGGTGAGACTCGGACACATCATCCCTCCGATTCAGAAACACTTGCATGCTATGTAAAATCACAAATGCGAGCAGAATAATACAAACTTGCATTAAGCTTCTTCTTAATGACAGTATAACAGAACCTCTGTGTAAAAAGGGGCTTTAGAAGTGTGGTGGTGGGTCTGAGTGTGCGAGGCAGAGTGAGGGGGGTGGGAGTAGCAGTGGTGCAGTCAGTGTGACATTTGGAGAGATTGAGGTTAGAGATTGGGCTGAACTGCACGAGAGGGGGGGTTTAAAGCCTCCAAATGGTGTTAAAGTTCATGATGTCACAGCAGTGCTACCAACATCCTCAAACACCTATTAGTCTATGCAAATACACACAGAGTGACCCCCACCCTGATCGCCCCACCGCCATTACAGACACAAACACACAGTTGTTTTATACGGTTCTATGGCTGACCTAAGATAAAGACAGGGGCAATTAAATAAGTCAGCACCAGACGTCATCAGTTTAACTCATCTGAAATGTTGGAGATGGCCAAAACAGGAGTAATACCAACTATATACAGTATATACTGTATTTATCTCACTTTATTTGATAGTATCGCTGTCACATTCTACAGCAATGCCATTACCCACAAAATAGAATGAACAATGGATGTATGTGCTACACGTATGATTTGGGTACGGCCGACTCATTGTGGCATTATTTGAGCCGTGTTGTAAATGTCAGCTGGAAATGACTGCTCACTCACATTGTTTGGAAGCACTAATGCTTGTCACGTTGCCATGTGTGTTGCTAACCAAGTTTCAGTCCCTAGTGTGTATATGACATCATTGAGATATGTTGGGGACAGAGAGCATCCGCTGGACCCGAAACAAAGCCTTGTCTTTTCCTTTCAGGGTCTCACTGAAAGTCCCAGTGTGTGCGTGCGAGTGAATGTGTGATTGTGTGTTCTGGGGCAGAGACTGTGTTGGGAGGGCTGAGCGTTTTCATTTGAGGCTAAGAAAGATCAGAAAATCTGTTCTCAGGTCAGGTGCCTTTTTCTTTCTTATTCAAAAGCCTATTCAAGCACCCTTACATGCAAACAACAAAAAAACACACACACAAGCATGCACTCTGTATTATCACATATATACACTAATGATCCAGTGCCTGTGTATGAGCCAAGAGTGTTTTATATATGAGCGGAGTCATTGTAAGATGAGTACAAAAGGCTGGGAGAGGAGTGTGGGATTGTGTTCATTACTCTGTCACAACAGGTCATAGAAATGTTGGCTTCTAACTGAGGACATGATTTTAAGGAGCATATTAGCTCCATCCATACTAACACACCTGAAAAGGTTTATCACATGACAATTAATTTACATGAGTCATGCATGTGTGGGTGTAAACAGTCCACTCTGCAGTTGGTTGCTCAGCTCAGGAAAATATATCAATAAGAAACAGCAATGATGAGAAGTGAGACCAGGGATTTCTTTGCTTGATTAGTCTTGTATCGCTTTGCTAACCCATACTTTCATTTAGAAACGATTAGTCTTGTATCGCTTTGCTAACCCATACTTTCATTTGTGGTGGACGCCGGTTATGTTTTAAAACTAAAATGTATTGGTGTGGGCGTTGCCTAATATACCAAGATTAATAGTTATAGCATACTGAAAGGGTATCATCACATTTTGGTTTAAACACAAGGATATTTTCTATCCTATAAACATGACATCATTACAAGTGAACCCTCTACATTTGACTGCAACTGTTGTTTGTTTAAGTGTGTCAACATAAAAATGTACAGCTCTAGCGTAAACAAGTTATGATTCTTCTCTTCCTATGGGGAAGCATTCTGCCCCCATGTTTTGAGTATGGCACTTTGCCATTAAGCCATGTGATGGGATTTGCATGCACGGCATACTGATGAGGTCTCAGAGGCTCATGATTGGCTGAGAGGCCCTGTGGCGGGAGTTAAACACTGGGGTCAAAGCAATTTCAAAGGAGCCTGTCATAACTAACCTTGTTAATCTGTTCCCATTACCAAATTACTGCGTGTGCGTTTACACAAATACACACTGATGCACTCTCTCCATATTTCTCTCTCTCCCACACACATTCAAACACCATCAATGATAAGAGGATAGGTGTACATGAGGTGATTTAGTGACTGAAGAAAAAAAAGACTCACCTGACACAAAAGTAGAGGACAATAGGACCAGACTTCTTGGGAAACTCATGTTCTAATACCCTGCGGTCCAACTGCAGCCAACTAAAATGGCCCCTGATGAGACAAAGGAGGAAAAACAATCAGTGCTTTCATCCAGAGATGTCTGAATACAACAAGGCCATACAAAAAATATTTCCTTCTCAATACTTTCTATTTTTGTTTTTGTGTAACCATTCATTCCCTTCCCTTCTATTCCCCCCCACATCTCTGCCCCTCCTTTAATTTCTCTCTGCCCTCTCCAACAGAGGAAAACTGCAGAGACAGCTTGTCACCCTGGTAACCCTGCATGGTATCCTGAGCAACTGAGCAACATCTCTCTCCAAGTCGCCCTCCTTCTGTCTCTCCCTCCATTTTTTCTCCCTTCGTACAGTCTCTTTGACCACTGAGCACTCAGAGCTGAGGCGTCTGCTCTCCACGGGAACACCTTACAAATCCAGACGCTGTAGAATTAGCCCTGGGGGACAAAGACTGCATAGCTGATATTGCTTTGCTGGACTGACACTTGCTACAGAATGTGTCACAGCTGTGTAAATGCCACAGAGCAAAGGCTATTCTTGCTTGACATCATCAGGTCCACGAGATGAAACAAAAAATAGAGACATGGCGGTGGTGGAAATGTTTGCCTGTATGTAAATCATTCGTATGCGTGCATGACTTGTTCTGGGCTATCATGCTGTGGTGCTTATATCTTTCTAGGTCACATAACACAGTAAAGCAAATTTGAATGTCAGTTTTGCATTTCAAGCCCAGTTCTGAAAACGAGCCTCCTGGCAGTCACAGCCTCACAACCTTTTGCTAGCCCAGAGCAAGACAATCATAGCCTCATCCAAACATCACGCCCTGTTACAACCCTTTACCTTTCATCTGTAAGTGAAAAAGAAGTGAAATCCACACATGTATACTAGGTAGGTGAGATAAAAGTGAATATTTTTCATCAAACAGCTATTTCCTACCTAAATCAGGCTGCACAGACAACAACAAACACAGTAAGTCAATAGAACCACACCGCAAATTCCTCAGGATAAAAACAGGACAAAATAAAATAAAAATGTCTTTTGTCCAGTTTTGAAATTTCATCATTAATGCTACAAAGGTCAATTATGGGCACTTGGAGTTTAAGAGGTCGTAAATCTTAAATTATAAACCCAAAACCAAAGGCAATTACACTTGGCTGTGTCTTTTTTAAGTAACTGAAAATTAAGCCTGCTGTTCCACATTATGTCTGACAGAGAATCCTCCTCAGCTTCGATTTCTCTAACTCTGTCTATAATGACAGCAGCACTGATGGAGGTGTCAGTGACACTGCAAGAAACCAAGATGTTCTCTGGTTTTGTGAGATTAAAGAAACACATCCGACATGTTCCTGTGAACTCCACTCTTGTGATCTTTTTTCCTTTGTTTACCAGGGTCAGCAGTGACAAACCCATTCCAGTAAACAAGATAAATTCAAGAAACAGTTCTGGGCTATTGAGAGACATCGCGTGCACTGCAGTTTTTAAACTCACGTTTCGTCTGTGTATGCGATTCCAAAGTACTCCTTCTCCTTGAGGTTGAAGTGAGAGGCCACGAGATCCAGCAAATCCTTTGCCATCAGCTTGGGCTGCAAAGAGACAGACATGTTAGCATTGCTCTATTTATTGGGATTGCATGTATCTGTTATTACTTGTCTTGTTTGAGTGTAGTGGTTTATCATACTGCAGTTTAATTGGAACAAGTACATGTGGTGGAGTTTTAATGTATTCTTTCAGCTATTGATTTAATGCAATGACTAAGCATTCTGACAAACACCGTGGAAAAGAGTAAGAGAGGAGAGAGAGCCTGCGAGAAAGATGGATGGAGTGTGGGGATGTTGCTGACAGTGCAGGTACCCTGCCCTTCCCCTCCCTCTCTCCTTTCCAACTCTCTGACCCACACCTCTACTGCAGAGTCATGGCTCTGGGCTGAATGACGGTACTGCAGGGAGAGGGCTGTGCAGCTAGCACAAGAGCTTGCTAGCTAGTTGATGTTGTGGAATACTGTCCGTGCAATATAGTGTATGTGACGACAGGCTCCATTCATCACATCGCTCAGAGCATCTCAAAGCAGAGGCCAGGGACTGCTGCCATATGCTGTTGGTTTGTGACATCCTGAGTAGCAGCACGCCCCACCCTGAGGTTAACCATGGGTGTGCCTTGCCGCCTACATTTTCATCACACACACGCAAATCATGCATATATGCACACACAAGCCCATATACCGAATGCATACAGCCCTATCAAAACAAGTAAGGGAAACACATGTGGTGTGCCATGCACAAACAGGATTGTGAGGGAAAAGAGGAAAACATACTGTGTGCAAACACATACAAACACACGTAGACAGTAGAGGGTGTGGTGTGTGAGTATTTAAATGATGGAGTATTTCATCCAGAATATAAAGCAAGGTCATAGAGCACTCCTGTAGAACACACACATAGCTACAGTCCGGTGCGTACATTCTTAATAATCTTCCCCTGAGGTCCTGAGGTGTGCGCTCACTTCACAGCTGCAACTTTAGGGACAGAAGCTAGAAGAGCTATTTAAAGACAAGGAGGTGATGTCATGCAGACAGCAAGCGCACACACACACATGCATCTCCAGTGACCTAGATCTCATATAAGCATGACGCCTACAGTGATCCTGCTGCACAAAGAGGAACTGGAGAGAGCAGAAGCAATAGAGCAAACTCGAGGGGGAGCGAACATATAGGTTGAGTGTGTCTTATGACATTTGAATGTACCAGACTTATAAACCAGGGATACTGTGCTCAATAATTGTGTTGCTATGTCCCTTTGAAGTATCTCTGCTACAGTCAAATACATATTTAGAGAGAATCATAACACAGAAAAAGATCAGGAACATGTTAAGTTTGTAATTATTCTATGGTAACGTTTACTTGAGATTATCACGAGAAGTGATTATAGAGCTGACCATAACAGTGTTTAAAGTCCTGATCCGTCTCACTCACTCAAATTGGTAGTCACATCCCTAAAAGCTCTTCCTGGCTCTGTTGTTTCTCCAAATGGGACTGCAGCCATTCACAAGAGCAACACAAGACCTCTTTGAAGTGCTCAAAACATTTTAGATGTGGAAATTTTAGGTCTAGTAACAGGCAATCTTTATAGCATTAGTAGTAATAGGTGTTTTGGTTCAGTCTGAAGCACGTTGCAGTGGTGGTCTCTTATTACCACAAAGCAGCAGTCAGCTGCCTTGGCACCACTATCAATTAAACAACATCATCTGTGCCGCCAAAGCATATCAAACAATGAGGCGGCAGATAGGGACGCGAACAGTAAACCCTTGCAAAGATGATGTGGAGATAAAACCAGAATTACCACCTCATGGTCGTATCCCTAGGTCAACCAGTCAAGTTGAAGGAAATATGGTCACAATCCTTTCTGTTTCTGAGTTATGGTGTTTTCAAATAGTTTCTGCATAACATTGTGATATCACAGTGAAGTTGACCTTTGACATTTTGCATATGAAATGTCATCACCACATAATTTTATCCAATGACACATTTATCTGAAAATTAGACATAATTAGCCAATTAATTCTGTGCACGTTGAGTTATGGACAACAGTGTGTTCTGTGACCTTGACCTTTGACTGTAACATTGTAATCAGGTCATCCTTGAATCCAAGTGGACGTCTGTGGCAGATGTAATTACTTCTGTCTGTTCCCAAGTTCCCATGTCACAGTCACCTCGACTGTAACCTCTAAAATCAGTCCAAGTTTGTGCCAAATTTGAAAAAATTCCTGAGATAGTGCCTCAACGATAATGGGATGGCCATACATACAAATACACGTATAAGGACGGCCATAGCTGTTGCCAAAGTAGAAGCATTATAAATCCCAGATATACTGTTGAATATCAGAAGCGCATGACTGAAGATGAGAAAGAACAAGGAAAGGATTTCTTTCCACGACATTGTTATGAATACCAAGCAGAATGTAAAAATCACATGGGCTCTACTGGGTTGTATAATTCAATTTGATTCTCTTCAAGTGACGACTCCCCTCACATGCACACACACACGTGCACACACATCCTAACAAGGCACACTGTCTGTGAGATGGCAGATACCTAACACAAGTGGAAGATACCGAGAGCAATAAATATTGTGAATGACAGGTATTATACAAGTAATATGGCACAATAAACACAATAATAGTGAGACAATCCAGACACATCCGGACTACGCAGACACATAGACACACACACACAGTACGGAGCCAACTATCAGACAGTAAAACTCTCTGCTGGCTCAGACAGCATTATTGCTAATAGACATTTACCCTGTGCCTCCTCAGCAGCACAGGTAATTAACAGCGTAAGAATTACAGAGAGGGGCAAGTGAGGAGAAGACATACTAGAATAAACCTGCAGACAAGTGACAAACACTCAACAACTTGCAAGGCCGGCAGAAAGTCATGCCCTAATCTCTGCAAACAGCTAGTCAGGCACTTGGTGCCTTCAGGCCCTGGGTTGTTCAGATTTATGGTGGCAGTCGTTAACAGTCCAAGGATGGGTAAGTAAACATTTTTAGTCATATGCTTCTCATTAATTTTTCACTATTTTGCCCCTTAAAGTCTGGTTTTAATATTTTAACTAATGCTTATTATGTTGTAGTGCTTAACCTTTATAGTAATTCACCAGGCACCTTATAGTTAAATTAAATCTTTTACCTACGCCAAGGAAGGGATATTTTTGTCTGCGTTTAATGGTTTGCTCGTTAGGAAGCAGGATAAAAACTACTAAATTAATTACCACAAAACTTTGTTGGAGCATGTGGTATGGGTCAGGAAAAAATATGTTGATTTCTCAGAGAATAATTCATGGATCTTAATGAAAAATCTGCCATGTTTAGTGCACTGAGATTTATTAGCATGTGCAGTTTGGTGCAGATTCAATTAAAAATCCAGATTTAAATGTGGCTGCATAGGTGGACTGTTGTGTCCGTCTATTTTAGTTCCCAACATAAAGTCATTCAAATTAACACTGGCATGGAGGCTCAATACCCTGTTCATGCTTTACCCTACATCACACCAGCCCCAGGGAGCGATAGCCATTTGATTGACATATCTTCACACGGTGGTGAATTTGGTGGTTAGCTTCAATCTTTACAACCTGGCTCCATAGGAGCCTTCTGGCACATGGTTCTCTGCCAATGAGGCAGTACTCCATAAACAAACCACATAGGACATGCAATCAATGGTAGGAGGAGGAGAGGCACGAGGAAGAGGAAAGGGTGAACAGCACTTTTGGGATTAAACAGCTGGTCAGTGTTATAAATCAGTTACAGAGGTGAGATCCAGTCTCTAGGAGGGCGAGCTGGCTGGTGCAGTTGGAGTGGAGACAGGAACTGTGAATAAGAGCCTCGACAGGACAACCTTGACCACAGTGCTGTTGAATTATCAGTGGAGACATAAAGTAGCCCAGTGGAGCGTGTTATACTGGATATACACTGCCTTATTAATAAAAAATACAAATCATCCCTTCAAGAAACTCATTTTTTGGAAATGGGCAGAGGATGTGACTGCTTCTTAGAAGACTGGAAAACTAAGAATAACACTGTAATTCTCTGTGGTCCTACTAACAACTCACTGGCTCTTTGTACATCCGCACAGCGGAGAGAAACGAGGACAGCGCTAGAAAAAGAAAGAGAGCAGTTTCCTTATTTAGACGACAGTGATTTGTTAAAAACATCCCATTTTCTGGCCTTTGCTGATGTCTTCTCACGTGCTAATAACATTGCCATGCTTGCATATGTTATGTGGTAAACAGATAAGATTTTCTCAATAGCAGCTTGATTGCAATAAAATAATGTTTTCATTTAACCTTACAACAGTTTATTTGTGTTTATTTCCTTGTCATTCCTGATGGACAAAAGCATGAATAATGCATGGGAGAGAGAGGATGGGTGAATGAGGAGGTACGGAGATCCAAGCTGTCTACTCTAATTTGTTTTCATTTCAAAATACTGTTCAAACAAAAATGATTTACAGGAAGTAGATTGTCTATTATGGAGGTGAAAATGCAAGGAATGAAGAACAGCATATTAAAAGTAAGTTCTTCGCTTGGACTGATGACGAGGTGAAACTGTTACTGATAGCAAACATTAGTAATGTCATGTTTCATTCACCACTTGTAGTAGAGTAGTGACTGATAAGACCCAATCGGGAAGTGAACATGGAGGTCATTGTTTCCAAATGTCTCAGTTACTCCATCCAGCATAAAAATATAACCTGTGTGTCAACAGGGGTAGTATAGTGTTTCCAAAGTCTGGGATTAACAGGATAGAGTAGGATGGCTAGCAGATGTAAATGTAGCTAAATTGATAAAAAACGGATTAAAAATTAAAATGTGAACGTAGCCTTGGATGGAGACAGTCAGTATTAAGCAGGTGAAGGCAAGCAAGACGCTGAGTGACAATTCAAGACATAGAGGGTGAAGAGTGGAAAGTCAGAGAGATGGAGAGGGAAAGAGAGGAGAGACCAGATAGAAGTACTAATTTGAAAGAGAGCATCAGTTTTGACACAGTAATCAAATCAGAAAGTCAGCAGACCTATCCTCGGCTTTCCCTTCCATTTTCTCTTCTCTATTCTCATCCCTTTAGGATCATCTCCTGTCTCTCCACTCCTGAGCTCTTTCTCTCTCCCTCTCAAGCCCCAGAGTTTCTGAATCAATCTTTCTATTCTCTGCTTGCTCCTCTTCTCCTGTTCCAGGGTAATTACCTTCCTTTGTCTTTCTCCCTTTCCAGAGGAATCGGGTAATGGACAGACCCAAGAGGAGCTTCGGGGTGAGGAAGAGTTGAATGAGCTACTTAGAAAAACACTTCTGTAAAACTAAAAATCCCAATCTTATGTAATAAGTGTCATAAAATACTTTATGTTCCCATTAACTGTGACAACAGAAAGCAGAAGATAGCACACCTACAGTCACAAAGAGCTGGCTGAAAGAGTAAGGGTATGAAATTGCAAACAAAGGAGAGACTAGTTTGTTGTAGGTGCTGCTGCTGCTGCCTTTGACCTGCTGGGAGGATTCAAGGCTGAATGTAGAAGGAGAAGGACATCATGCTGACATACTGACACCAGACATGCAGGGAAAGAGACAAACAGGCAGACAAGTAGGTATATAGACAGATAGATGATTATGTAATGATTACAGAAAGTTGGGGAATGAAAGATAAACATGAGCTTAGGGTAAAAGTTTTAGCTGGTAGGACTGCAAGTCCGGGCAAGAGCTGCTGCACTCATGCCTGTGTGGGATTTTGTGTATGTGCAGAGAGATCAGGTGAGCATCAAGAAAGTGCAAAGTCACCTCCTGCTGACCAAATTCCCCTCGGTCAGCAGTAATTCATTCCCTGAGGACACCAGACATCACTTCTCCCTCGCCCTAAAGAAATGAGCATCTGCAAAGAGAGAGGGAAGAAGGAGAGGAAAGAGTGAGAGACTCACCTGTACAAGGAGTTCCAGCTTCCTGTCGTCAAGGAGATGGACCTGACATCGCCTCCCCTCTGTCATCTAAGAAACAAAGAAAAAAAAGAAAACAGATGTTAGTTTATCGTGTAAATTGTAAATTTTCATATTACACTAAAACATATCAGAAGCAGTCTTTTGTATGGATATCCACTGCTGCCAAACATGAAGAAAACTACTTAAATGTACAAATAACTGCACGCTTCCCAGGTATGGGAGTTTGGCTGTATAGCAAGCTTGGTGTGAGCATGTCTGCATATGTCTTAACAAGAACAGCAGAGCTAACTACACACGATGAGCCAGTAGAGCCAGTGTCCTGCACATCTTGCTTCCTTTGACATTTCGAATATTCCTCCATGAGCAGAAAATCCATTATCCATCAGTGCAATGACCACAGCAACTGAGGCTGCCTTCTGACAGTGTTCACGCCAGTGTTTGTCTGAGTTGTTGATGCAAGGTTTGCAGAACTGAGCTGCAAAAAAACCTGTTAATATCTGTCTGCCTGGCTCTTCTGTAAACACTGAGGCAGGTGCAGTGACGAAAACAGTCAACTGTGGGAAATTTGCATCACATGCACACAAGTTAGATGAAACACTGTGAAAGTTTGCCACTGCACGTTCGAAGGAACAGAAGACTAAGGTTATAAAAAATCACAACACTTTCTAGAAGAGGCGCACAAACTGTGTTCAGCATGTAGAGTGTTTGTGTGTGTGTATGTTATGGTGTTTCCAGCACATGTGGAGTTTCTCCACAATTAAACAGGAAGCGGGGACCCTGAGGAACACAAACACCCCCTTGGCTCCTCCCACTTCCCTCGCATCTGGGAGATGGGGGAAGGTGGGTGATGTGTGTCTGTGTGTGTGTGTGTGTGTGTGTGTGTGTGTGCGTGGGTGTGTAAATGGGTGGGGTGAACGGGTAAGAAATGTTGGAGAAGACGGAGACAGACGGGGGTAGACACACACGCTCATTGTCCAACATTCGATGAGAAACTCCCATCAAAGCACAGATGCCATAAACATGAGCACAAGCACAACCGGTTTGTAACTCTTCACCATGAGAAGGATCATATTGGCCACCTGAGGCTCTGGCAATTTGGTATGGGTGTGTCCACAACATGAGTATAATATACACCTACTTTCTCACATGCAGCTCGGGCCAACTGGCATTGAGGTGGCGGGCTGGGGGTGAGAGTTTAACAGAGAGACGATGAAAAAGTGAAGAAATCGAGAGGGGCAGGAGGGAGAGTTTCTTTTCCACGGTCATCCCAGTGTGAACTCTGAATGTGTGTGTGTGCGTGCATGTGGAGCTTCTAGCTACTTTGAAGGATTCGGTTTACCCTCCCACTCACCATTGATCTCCTGTGGTTTTGAGGGTTTAGATTGGGTGCACCTGTGCACACAGTCCGTAACACACACACACACACTTTTTTCCAGCATTGCCCTTTGTTTTCATCTCTCGTCTCGGAGTTACATTACAACTCCGTCTTTATATTGTATACAGTGATTTTAATTACTACCATGACTATTGTGTAGTAGCTCAGTGGTGCAAATAGGATTGATTATAACCAAATAAAAGTGATATAAGAACCCTGATTTGGCAAATATATACTCAAAGTCACTAATCTGGATGTAAATACTATCTGAAAGCATTTGCTGGCTGAACTAAACCGAAATCTAATCTGTGGTATTATCATCATTGAGCCTGGACATAAGATGGGAGACTAAATACAGACAAAACATCTCACTAAAGAACCTTGTCTGCAGTTCAAACTGCAATGCAGCCAGACACACACACACACACACAAATACACACACTGGCACTGGGACTCTGCTTGAGGCTACTGGGAATACAACAAACCTTAACGTCAAGGTAACAAATCATTGCCTGCAGGCTAAAACAAGGGCAGCTCAATCTGGCAGACAGACTCTCACTGGTTTGAGTCTTAAAATTCACTTTGTGGTATTGGACGCATGCTGCTGGGTTTCTACCCACCACAAAATCAAATGTACTGGAGTTTCTAAGAATAGCTGGTGGAGTAAAACATAATAAAACTGCAATATTTCAAGTTAAAGCAGATATGTATTTACAGTGAGTCACTGGATCTATCCACAGCAGCACACAGATGCCCTGATGCATGTTGTAAACTTTCTATTATGATGTTGAAAACCCCCTCACCACCTCCCTGTTCTGTGTGATTCATGCATGTTGGTCCTCCAGCAGCATTTCGCGAGCAGTCAGGTCTGAATCGGCCAAACCTCGCTCCATCCTCAGGCCTGACTCACCGGAGACCACAGCAGGCAGAATTGAGGAGATGAAAATGAAGACTGTGAGCTGACACTACAGTGTGAGGCGGCCATGTTCACACCGGCTCATCACACGAAAACAACACACACACACACACACACACACACACACACACACACACACACACACACACACACACACAGTTGACTGATGCCTGGTCAGTGCAGTATCATTAGTTAGTTACCTTGCAAAACAAGAACGCTCCCTGCGAAGCTCCCACGCAAAGAAAAACAGCTCCAACACTCAGAGGGAATATTTATATATCTAAAATGATTAAATCCAATGAGAGACGAGTCGCGTTGCTGCCGGAGAAGCGTCAGAAAACCCCTCTTTCCCCCGCCGGCCTAAAGCAGCAGGCACATCAGCATCCATGTTAGTGACCGTTAAGTTGGGTCGCCGCGTATCCCCGGTGTCCTCGAAGCGCTGCGGAGCTGGCGTACGTCCGCGCCATTCACGATAGGAGGTGATTCCTGTGGCTGCCTCCTCTCTCCCTCTCACATCCCTCCTTCCGAAAGCAGGGAGCTTCTCACGGGTCTAGTCCCGGTCGACCACCTCCGCCCCCGACCACCTCTCCTCCTCCTCCTCCTGTTTCTCGCTACCGGCACGGGAGCGTGGAGAGAGGGGAGGGGAGGGGGGAGGCTGTACCAACGGTCAGCAACCGAGGAGGGGGAGAGGAGAGGACGACGACCACGGGGAGACACCGCAGGTAACAGCTCCTCGGTTCCTCCTCGCTGTGTCTCTCTCCGCTGTCACCGGAGTTGCCGCGAAGACACGGGTATAATGGAGGCGAGATGTGGGGGAGGAGGGGGACCGCTCTGCAGCAGCTCCCAGCCATGAGACTGCAGCTCTGTGTGTGTGTGTGCGCGCGCGCGTGTGTGTGTGTCCACCAATTCAAACAGTCTGCAGACACACGCTGATAGAAGTGTTCCTTAAGTAACAGTAAGTGTGGATCATAGTCTCTATATGAAATCCCCTTCAGTGAGTGATGCAGGGGAGGAAGGGTTCTCCTCCAGAGACTCTTTCCTGGCACCACTTTGACAATATCACTGAAAAAGTAAAAAAAAAAAATGTTGCGCCAACTTAAAAAATGACTTTGATTGGAAACACCAGTGATTTAAGTTCGTACAACTTGAAGTGAAGTCCTATCAACACAAATGCAAACTTTAACTTGATTCGTTTTGTGTGTTACCTATTAAAGTATTTGTTACAGGGGCTTTCACTGATACTGTGTTTGGTCTGGACTTTCTGATCTGGCCCAATGGACCAACATTTTCCCACCAAAGAGGAGATCTCGGTCTGGATGAGAAAAACCATGATTCGGACCATTTGCAGCTGGTTGAGACAGCATAGAAGAGAAAAATGAATGCAGTAGCCGAGAACACAACACGCTGACGTCAGAGGCATGCCTGTCCACAAACCAATCAATGTCAAGTATAGGAAGGATGGATGACAGGAAGTATGTATATCATATGAGTCTTTAAAGCGCGCCAGTGATAAAAAAAAAAAAAACTAACCAGATCTGATGTAAACAAGGTAACAAAGAACTGAATCTTCAGGTCTGTAAATGCCCTAAGTTTTCTTTCATGTTATATACCAGACCTACATCATGTGCATGTGTTTTCCCATAAGTCTGAAATAGCTGAATGATAATTTGCAATAACAAGTAGGAGTTTCAGTTGGGACTTGTCACTTCCTGTCTGTACTTTCAAACACAAACTTCCTCGCTTTCAGGTTTGGTTTGCTGGCGTGATTTCTGGCTCTCTGTCCACGGCAGCCGTTGGACTGACTCTCACTCTCTCTCCCTTTTTTTTATATGACCTAAATTGGGCACTTGTGTTCACCTTCTACAGCTGGAGCAGCAGCCGTTGAAACCACAAGTTGTTAACATAACAAAATCAGTCTGGTTTTTTGCACCATAAATAGATACTAATGTGTGCTATGAAGGCAGGGATAAGACCAAACCTACTGTCAATAAAGCTTTTGAATGACTCTGCAACTGTAGACCAGCCCATAACTGAATTACTACATGAGTAATTCCCCATGTTATGAAAACACAGAGGACACATGTAGCCCAGCACATATACGATAAACATATATATCCTTTTAGCTTAGCTGTCAGCATCAGGGATGATTGGCCATCTTAGCTTCTCAGCATCTGTGTCTAAATCAAATGCAGTTGCACCATATTTGAAATACCACTGGCAAGGCATTATCTTGAATTTGCAGAATCCATCACAAATACTCTCTTCCCAGACATTTAGCAACACAAAGATGCAATTACATTTTATGTGCTTGGCTTCAACAGTTGTGTTGCTACCACAGCTTGTGCTGCCTAATTCAGCTTAGTTGGCTGAATGTAGAAGGTCACATGAGAAACGAGGAGGTGTATCCTTTTCTGTCCTGCTGGATTTTTCTGTTTCTGGATATTTTTGGGCTGCTCCAGACACCGGAAACTGGCCTGTCCAACTTAAACATCTCCAGATGACTCTTTCTTTGGCTTTAGTATGTAAACTCGTCCCGCTCTCTCTGGTCAAATACATATCTCTCTTTATTGGTTGCTTCCTCAGTTAGCTGTCACAAGGGCTCTGTTGTTTGACCAGAGCACAGGAGGGGGTGAGAAGGGGACAATGCAGGCAGTGGAGAAATGGGGTAAAACTGAAAAAAGACGGGAAAAAAAGGAAGACGAATATGTAGAAGGAAGGCCCTGAACACTTGAGTTACAAGAGTTTATAAATGATTGATCCTGTTTGGAAAGGATGTGACTACCGCCAGAGAAGCTGAATGAGTGGGGCTGAGATTCACAAAATAAGACAGAGAGGAAAAGGAAGGCAGACAGGAAACAAGGCAGGTAGTGTGTGACGGTGCAGCTGTTGGTGCTCATGCTCCTCAATGCCCCTACACACAGTCACCTTTACAGGACCTATGCCAAGAGGCACAAGCTGAGAAACACTTGTAGGTGTGACATATCTTGGCCCTGACAGAGCCTTGTTATGGAGCCGGTGGGCTTCTATTCTGGGCTGAGGTGTGGTTGTAATGAGGTGCTGATCTGGTGTATTTCTATGGAGGAGGGCTCCAAAGGGGAACAGATCCGAATGGGTGAGGTGGGTTTAACAGGCGGTGGGTATTAAGAGTCAGGTTTTAGGGTCGAGCTGGGGGAACAGGGTTGATGGTCTGTGGTGGAAAAGGTAACCTATATTGTTGGAATGTGATATAAACAGCGCTCAATGGTTAATTGAATCAAGATGGAGAATCTCTTTAACCCTGACTGCGGGACGCTGCGGTAGGCAGTTAAGATTGACACACGCACACGCGCACACACAAACACAAACACACACTCTCCAAGCTCTCTGTCTCTGCCTGCGTCTCTCCCATATTTGTGGAGACTATACAAACACACTCTCTTAAACACGTCACTTTGAGAACAAGCGTGGTCTGACACAAGCGGTCCCTACGATGATTTATGATGCTGAGATCATTATAGCTGAATAAGCTTTAAGACTCCTCGTCAGTTTTGATGCAACGGTATCTGCAGATGGTGCTGATTAAATTACAACACAAGATTCAACAAATCATATGATGGGTCCAAACTGTTTCAGTTCAGTGGGTTATTAAAAATCCAATGGAAAAATAATAACAGCCACATCCCATCCTCTTCTCCATCCAGCATGGAGCAGCGGAGTGGGACGGTGAGATGGAGCAGGGAGGGTCATGGAAAAGCAGCCTGGAATGTCTGGAGAAACGACTGCGAGAGATCTGCTTTGTTTGTTCAATACATATAAGTGTGTGAGTGTGTGAGTGTGTGTGTGTGTGTGTGTGTGCGAGTGTGTGTGTGTTTTTCTGTGTCTGTGAGCTCCACCCTCCCTGCCCGTGAGTGACTTTGGGACTGAAATGTGGTTCCAGTTAGGGCGTTTTTTTTTTTTCTTAAATCAGAAACACACTGGCACTTCAAACAAACTGTAGATATTTCTGTAGCCTGCTCTGCTTTGTTCTCATTTTACTACAAAGCTCTGCTCCCAGACTCGACCAAAAACCTTTCTCTTAGTTTTTTTTCCAGGACATGTTTACCTACATTTTTAGCCAGAGCATCAACTTTGACTAAAACTGACAGATGGAGACGCTTGTGAATTTTATGGACAGGACTTTTATTGTGAAAGTTGCTGTCAGCTGTTTCTGTCAGCACTATGAAGACATCAGAAGTCATGCTTTATAGTTTATGTGTGATCCAAACTTAAGCTGTGTTGAAGCGACACATCCCCACTTTGGCTTCATATTCGTGATATCAACTTCACTGCCATGTGCACCCAGAGGGGCTTCAATCCACAGTGAATCAGAATAAGACAAATAAAAGGTTTCAGGATAGGCAGTGAGTGTCTATTTCATATAACTACAGTCAATTTGAATACTCCTTGTTGTCAAATCTCAACATCACCTTGTTCTTGATAAAGTCCCGAACATCTAAAATTCCTCTCCTCATTCTTTTCACATTCCTTCACAGGTCAAATTATCTGATCTTAAATGATTGAAATGCTTTTGTAAATATGCAGCACAACTATGTCATTGATTTAACAGTGAGTGTTTATCGTCTGGTGTAAACTGAGTCTCTTTTTGTATCCACAGCTGCTTTCAAACATGCACTGAAGTGCGGACATTTTCCAGAGGCGCTGTATGGGAGAATTCAAAAGTCCAAGTCAGTTGCTGCGGATATTTTTTTGGAACCTTTCCTACCAGCCTCCTGGTGAAATGTCCAGAAAATGTCGGAGTGGGCCCTTGAGAGAATACAGCAGGAAAATATATGTGAAAATTTACAGCGACCGACTGTGCGCTGTTGATAGCTTTTCTAACACATGACAAATGTGAACCTGGAAGAATACAAATATCTCATGATGAATAGGTGGAATATACATAGACACCAACAAAGATGGCAACTTGGAAAGACAATGACAATGGAGAGCTTTAAGGGCAGACTGCGAAATTGTCAAACAAGTTCAGGGACAGCAAGAGACTTTACATCACAGCCAAATAGTATAGGTCTTGTCCATGCCCCCTTGCACTGGACTGTTTCAGACATTTTCCTTTGGTTGTGAAAGTGTCTGACCTGGACAATCACCTGCTATGTCCTTCAAATGTGAAAAGCAAACTGCGGCAAATGTCTGGACCCAGTTTTCCAGACCTCATGTCTGAAAACAACTCATGCAAAACTCTGCTAATGGAGCCTGCTCCTCTCTGTTCACTCACTCGTTTCAAGTCAACATCCTCGTTCTTCCCTCATTTGTTTCCTTTCTCTCCCTCTTTTAATCCATAACTAACTCAATCTCTTTTTCTGCTGTTGTTTTGTTCTGTTGCTTTCACTGTGTGGCAGAAACTAACTGGGTCACATAGTTGTACACGTGTGCACAGGCACTCGTATGGAGCCTGAAGTTATATTTAATACAGAAAGCTCTAAAAGGGGACCAAAGAAAACGTCCCCAGCTTGATGAAATCCAAAAAGCAAATAAAAGCACAATGCGACGATGCTGCGCCACAGTGTGTCAGTATGAGAGCAACTCACCACGGGCCACTGTGTTCGTCTGCATTCAGGTCATCCATCTTTCATCCCACCAACACTTCAAATGTGTTTGCACTTATTTATGTAGTGATGAGCTGTATTGAAAATAGTCAAAACGGATTATTCTACTTTGCTTATTTCCCACAGGAAAGAGAAGAAGCATCTCTTTCTTTCTCCGATCAGAGTTTCCTGACACGGCTCGAAC